TCACACAGTTAACACAATGGTGGGACATTAATAAATTAAAAATTGACGTGCGTCAGTTTTATGTTTAGAGATCATTATGGAAACAGCGACACCCCTAGCCTTGAGGAGTGCAGTAAACATGTTCCATCGCTTATCAAACCAAACCATACCGCCAGGCCAATTACAACTTTATGTGTAACAACTAACAACACAAAAACCAATCGCGAAAGGCAACTTTGTAAGTGTTCGAGGAGTACCTACGTTCAAAGAAATATTGTTTTTAACACGTTAAGAATAACGACCACATTGGGGGATTTCACGAAACACCTGGACGCTTCAGTAGTCGAAAACTGTTTACCAGTAAATCACGCTCATTGTTTGAATAAATTTCTATTTCGATGGTTACCGCTAAGTGCTCGTTCAGCTTTTCGCGCTAAATTATATTTCTGAGTAAATGTAGGAAATTAAACTGCGCACTTAAAGGTGCTTTGTATAGTAACAAAGTTATAATGGTTAAACAAAACATAACTCGAACTTTCATAATAAGTAATTAACAGTTTTTTATAACGAGTCTGCCATTATACCTACAGGAGGGATTTTGGAATTTACTCAAGCGTGGCAGAATAGCTTAAGGGCAACCTTGCACTTTATGAAGTTCTCCCGCCATGCCTGACCCCTTAATATAGGATCGAACGTCTAAGGTAGCAAAATAAAAATGAAAAACCGGCCATGCTTTTGGTTGCGTCCAAATCGTCAGTCTTCTGATTAGGAACTACTACAAATTGGACTATTAGTGAAATGGCCAGTCCATTATTTTATACAATCCGAATTATTTTTTACAGTTAATTACAGTTTAAGGTTCTAGGTCTTCATAATGTGTGTCGAGAGTGCGGGTATGGTCGTGGCACCCTGTTACGACTGGCCAAGCACGGCCGGTGACTTAACAAAAGCGAATCCACCCCTGATGTGCGATTCCGCGGAGTGTCAGAGTCACAACGCATAACAGGAATCGTGCAATGCAGACCTGCAGTGCTATGTGCTTTCTGTAAGAACAAATTTACTTTTCACCTCGAAATCCGCGGTGTGATTTAAAATTTGAACACAATCACATCGGAGAATCCTGTGGTGAAAACTGAGTTTGATCTTACAGAAGCGAGGCTGGCGCTCCCTCACCCAAACCAGTCTCGAACCTACCCCTGCAGTGAGTAAGGGTATTTGGGTTATGGGGGTCTACCAGGATGAAGAAATATTAGGGTGTCACTTTCGGGCATCCCCCTGATGGCCAGGAGGAGGAACCCTGCCGGGGTAACGTGGAGTCACCAGGATCCCACGACACCCGTTCCGGCAGGCGAGGAAGTACTGTTGGGTATTTAGTGGGTAGGGCCTCCCCCTTGTCCCGGGCAGCCGCCGAGCCATTCTGGCTGAGCGGATGAGCGGGATTTGGGGACATAACCCCGTCTCTCACACAGGGGCGGGGTATGCGTCACGCATTTTCCCAACAATAAAAAAGGAGTTTTTAAAAAGCCTTTTCAGCCCATAAAGTCGCCTTTGACACATCTATGGCATGACATCATTGACTTATCCAAAACAAGGAGACCCCCAATCACCTAACAAAAGTTCATCAAAAACCGACCGAGGGGCGCTGTTATACATAGATATACAGCTACTTATACAGATAACATTAAAAAAGCTCAAATGAACACGTTATGTCATGACAGTAAGGTTCAATGTCAACTGTAAACGAGAGTTTGATTACGGTGTGAGATATACACGATCACGTGACACACGGGGTGTACACGAGGAGAGATATTTTGTTGTAGTTATTTAAGTGTAATTAATAAGCAATATGATAGAAAACGTTATAGTAATATAAGTTATTTACGGGATTGTTACCATGTACCTTGTTTTTAGCGAGTTTCCGATATTTCGGCACTGTTGAAAGCGCCATGATCACGGAGTAACTGAAGTAATTGCGGGTAGAATGTTATTGGCAGACAAATCGGTCTACCCTCCGACGAAGTCTTTTATTGCGTTCGATACCCGTACCACTGTTCACATTCTCACTATTCACTCGAAACTGTTCTCGACACACAACACTTACAGTATCGGATCGCGACACGACACTTTTTTGATTATTTCCGGTTTTACACATACGAACCACAGGATTCCAGACACTCGACAATTTAAACCCGTCCTTACGATTGAAAATTTTATGTTTTGTTATTTCAATCGCTTCCCTGACCAATCTGGGTATGTAGTGGCGTTCTGTCGAGATAATCTGTGGGTTATGAAACCCAATCCAGTGGTTAGGACCAGAATCAATCAAATGTTCCGCGATGGCTGATTTCTGCGTATCGTTATTCTTGATTGCTTTTATGTGTTCCCTCATTCGGCATGATACTGTTCGCTTTGTTTGGCCAATGTACGAACTGCCCCAGCTGCAATCGATCTTATAGACACCAGCCCCTCTAGCATGACCACCGAAACGGGATATGATAAAGCGATATATCGGCATTAACTGTCAGACTACTATGGGGTTTGACAGTAGTCTGACAGTTAATGTCGATATATCGCTTTATCATATCCCGTTTCGGTGGTCATGCTAGAGGGGCAGGTTTCTCCAAAGGGAAGATGTCTTTAGGAGACCGTATGTATTGTGACACCTTTCGCACAGGAGTGAAGACAGTGTTTAGTGAGTACTTATTCAGTATGTTTGAGATCCTGTCAGTCACTCCTTTGACGTATGGCAAATAAACAGGTTGTCTGTCTACTCTGTGTCTCCGGTGTCTTAGTTTGTGTCTAGATGGAAAATGTCCCTGGTATTCATTACTCTGTAAGACTCGTCGTACATGCTCTAACTCTTCTTGAAGATGTTCCTCATCACACAGGTCATATGCACGGTTCGTCAGTGAAGTCACTACAGAGTTAAGATGTTTAGGGTGGTGATGCAAGGAGGCGTTGAGATAGAGGTCAGTGTGTGTTGATTTGCGGTAAATGGAATGACCAAGCGAACCATCATTCCTCACCCGAATCTTCACGTCCAGAAAGGCCAGACTTCGGTCATCTTCCTCATTCATCTCATAGGTAAAGTTGATTTTAGAATGGATACCATTTAAATTTGCCAAGTGAGACTCGACATCATGTTTGTTACCTCTTAATATACAGAATACGTCATCGACATACCTCTTCCATAGTTTTATTTCCTTGGGTGCGGTGATAAAGGCTTTTTCTTCAAAATGCTCCATCCATATATTGGCAACCACTGGAGCCACGGGACTGCCCATTGCGACCCCATCTATTTGGAGGTAGTACTGACCCTGATACATGAAGAAATTCGTCGACAAACAATGATGCAACAGCTTGGCATATTCCTTCGGGATGTCATTTTCTTGCAACTTCACCTTCACCACTTCCAGACAATCCAACACAGGTACATTTGTGAACAGCGATTCTACGTCAAAACTGACCATCAACTGATTTTCATCTACCTTGTTTTGGTGCAAGATTTCTATGAAATGGTGGGAATCCTTCACAAACGACGACGTTCGTCCCACTATCGGCTGCAATACTTTTGCCACGTGCTTGGCCAGTTCATATGTAGGTGAGTCTATCTGACTCACGATCGGACGTAGGGGCACATTTGGCTTATGGATTTTCGGCAGACCGTATAGTTTTGGAGGCTGGATGTTCCTAGGACGTAATAAATATTTGACAATGTCATCGTCTAAAGCGTAGGCGCATTCTTTTATGAGTGTGCGAGTGTTACGATCTGTCCTTGCCGTTGGGTTGTAATTCACCTTCTTGTATATGTGTTCGTCAGTGAGTAGGCTATGGATTTTGTTTTCATACTCACTGGTATTGTGACTTTACCATTCTCCATTCCCGCCCTAATATCACCAGTCACCTTTAAAAGCGCTGAAACTGTGCTATGTCCGGGCCTAAATCCGGATTGGAGAAGGTTCATTAATGAGTTTTTGTGAACGAATTGAGAGAATTGCTTGTGGACACAAGCCTCCAGCACCTTTGACATAAAAGGGAGGATGGCAATCCGCCGAAAATCATTAGGCTGTGTTGGATTGGGAACTTTGGGAAGGGGGCGTACAAAGGCTTTACGCCATAAAATAGGGAAAGTGCCAGTGTCAAGAGAGGAATTTATAATATGGGTTATAGCAGCAGGAAGAAGAGGGTCCAGAATAGTGATGATCATGCGACGACTAATATCATCACATCCTATCGCGTTAGATTTGATGGAAAGTATTATCTTCTTAATCTCTGACGATGTGGCTGGTGAAAAATGGAAAGGGGCAATGTTAGGACGCGTTAAACCATCTATAGAGGCCACTATAGAGGAATCCTGTGGTTCGTATGTGTAAAACCGGAAATAATCAAAAAAGTGTCGTGTCGCGATCCGATACTGTAAGTGTTGTGTGTCGAGAACAGTTTCGAGTGAATAGTGAGAATGTGAACAGTGGTACGGGTATCGAACGCAATAAAAGACTTCGTCGGAGGATAGACCGATATGTCTGCCAATAACAGCCTACCCGCAATTACTTCAGTTACTCCGTGATCATGGCGCTTGCAACAGTGCAGAAATATCGGAAACTCGCTAAAAACAAGGTACATGGTAACAATCCCGTAAATAACTTATATTACTATAATGTTAGTGACCAGGAAACTTTAAAACAATATAATGATAGAAAACGCTAACATAGTTGCGTAATTTTGTAAGTTTAAAGGGACACTACCTGAAACTTGACACTCATGTTTGTTAGATGTGGATCTGGTATTATATGCACAGTTTTTAACCGAAAACTTTGTTATCATGGCCTGCGCTGGTGTCTGTGTGCCATCAAAGCGTGGTCGAAAGACTGTCTGAAAATTACACACAACACAACAGACGCTATCGGCACTTTTTAAGCGCGATTGTGAATCTACTTGTTTTTAAACGTCAATGAATGACATTAGCATTTGTTGGTCGAAATAAAAATGACTGAATTCTATAACTAATTTATTACAACCACCTAGTATGGTTCATTGATAAGAAATTCTTCAACTGACTTTCTGTATTTATCGGGAAGTGTTTCAATTAGTTCCGTCCGTGTCAGCCAATTAGCTTTCACCTTCTCACTAACGCCGCCGCTTTTGTAATTTGCATAGTAGAAGAAAACCTGCGAACAATACATAATCCGTTCATTAATCATCAGCCTATTAATGTCCCTAATAAATGGAATAGGGAGGTCATGACCTACCAAGCGGGTCTGGTGCGTATGGTGGATGTTAGCGACTGACCAATGGTTTTCGAAGCACGGAAGAGTTGGAAATAGTAAATTTTTGGTCAACCCATCCCTATGACCGGTTGTATTCAACGAACTTTTAAGGCAACTTCTACCAATTCCAGCCACTCAGCATCAGAGGCATTGCTATCAGTTTGACTCTATTAGGGGTTCGTAAAAAAAATGGTAAGAATGGAACCCTATTGAATAGAATATATTTGATGCTTTGGCAACAAAAAATTGAAAAATAAAGTTAAGTACCGTTTGCCAATCAATAATTATATAATTTTATATTACAATAAGTTTTTTTCAAAACGGGGTTAAAATAAATTGTAGTTTTTCTTTCAAACGATTAACAATGAAGTGCACTACATCTCATAAAAATTTGGAGTCTGCTGGAGACTCACTGCCACTCATCATAGAAATTTGAAGTCTCCTTTAAAGTTAACACTACCGCCATCTTGTGAAGAATAGCAGAACTTATTGGTACATGCACTAATACAAGAGATATATTGTATGTACAAGAATCTTGATTTTAGTTTCCCTATTCGCTACTAGCACAAAATAGATAGAACAGAAGTCAAACGCATGTAGGGTAATTCACTTTTACGCTTGCGGCGGTCGCGCTAAGATTGTCAACTTTGGCTTATAAGAACTATCGTGTAGTGGCATTCGTTTTTAGTTGTTTGATTTACTGTTGAATTGAAACAGGAAGAATGCAAATATAAACCAATTCGGTTTTTGGGCAAGCATTCTACATAAAATACCTATATTTCGTAACTCATTCCGTTTACGATCTAGATATAGTGACATACGGATAGACAGACAGACAACAGAGTGACAGCAATAGGGTTCCGATTTTAACCATCTGGGTATGGAACCTTACAAAACAACAAATCAACTTTTAATGTTAAATTTAAATTATCATCCACTGAACAGATCTCATTTTTGTTAATTTCTTTCACAAAAGTTCACAGACGCGTGCCTCAAGCAGATGGAAGTCGTGCTTGCACTGGTTCCAAGTGGTCCGAGATATCGTGTCCCTGAGCGATGTCTGTGTGCGTTGCTTAAGCGCACTATTTATGTACATTAATTTCTGTACTATCTATTTTGTACTACTCGTGTAAAAATGTTAATGGTGTTAATTCTGGCATGATATATTGAAACTAAAATTAAAGAAAACAGTGTATCCTTGTCATCAGATATACGGAATGAAAAGGAGACACTGATGAAAAGAAGACTGGGCGAAAGTGGTCAAGAAGCAATATCGATAACGTTGTGATATTTATTTGAGGGTACTTTTTCTCAACTTTAATTTAAAAGGGCATATAAGTATAAATAAATGCTTGTTTAAAATTTATTTTCTGTTTATTTTTATTTATGTAGTTATTTTTGATATTAGCGCGGTAAGTTGGTTATTATAAACGAGTAGACGAATGTAAGCTCTCGCTTCGTCTCCGACTTACCATAATCACGACTTTGCAACTACCAATTCCACACGAATATTATACAACGCTTTTCAACACATTCGCGAGAAAACAGTTTAGGTACCTAATTTAAGTAATGAAGCAAACTTTTAATAAGAATAAGAAAATGGCGCGTCTTTCCAAATGACGCCATGTGCTAGTGGTAGTGGTTACAACATCTCTCGTCTCTTTCATTTTAGTATTAAAGTCAGACAGAGAAAGGAATAGATTAATAGCCCTTTAAGGAGGTTCGTGCGAAATTAAAAAAAAATACCGTTAAGGATACGCACGGCGCCATTTATGGGAGCATGTACTAAAAGTTTTACCGCACGCTACGCTGTATGGTCCGTAATTTTGATTTTTTGAACAATGTATACAACGCTTTATTGAGCAAATGTGTTGAAAATAACTAATACCTTTGCACCAATTTTTCCTTCTATTTCTGATGGATACTTGTATTTATAAAATCCACACGGTGCATTGGATAAGAACTGTACTTTTAGATCGGACCCGCAATGTTCCGACAGTATTCTTTCAGCAGTCTGTAAATGAAAAATATAATTACTGAGAATCAAATATAAATTACAAAAGCGCATATTTACTAAACATAGAAAATATTTTTGAATAAAAAGTATTAAAATAAACAAAATAATTTTAACTGAATTTGAAATTCCCTATTTGGGTTTTTTAAGTAAAAAGATCTGCTATCTCAGCGATCTAGATGCTTTTTTCACTAGTTTATGATTTTTTTTATTGTCCCGTGAGTAGGTATGAGGAGAAATCATTTTCTATATCACATAGGGTTATGGTAAGGGTTAACCAACAACATGTGACATCAATAATACTTTATGAATAGGACTACTAAAACATTGATTTTTATTATTTAAAACTCTAGTTAGCATAAAGCTAAAGGGTGGCAAAACTTAAAATTCTTATCATACCTGTCTTAATGTTTCACCTTCCTGCCACTTTCCTTGTGGTAATATGGTTTTAGTGTCTTTTCCCAATTTGAGCGATGTTACAAGTACAAGATGTCTCTGCAAACATCTTTCAATGGAAGCTTTATTTCCGGTTTTATCAGCTTCTGTGGAAAATAATCAATAACATTTGAAGAGTGTTTCTCCACTTTCTTTATATGCCAGATGAACTTTGTGCAAATTTCGATTTCACAGGTTGTTGAATAGTTAAATCTGCGAAAATGCACATTTCAGCAACTATTTCTCTGTTAGTTGTATGGCAGACAATGATTCGTCTCGCTTCAAAAGCGAAGCAAAGACCAATCATTCATCTATGATGGCAGATAACTATTCTGACTATATAATATATATTTCTGATAACTATTTTTGTTTAACAAAGATTGATAGGGCCATGTATATAATTATGTTATCATTGATAAGTTTTCAATTTTGATAGACATTTTGGAACAGGCTAGGCTGTACCAGTGCAAATGCTTCAAAACATAGTTCTAATGACCAGGCACCACTTTCTTTAAAGTGAAACTGTAAACAACGCCTAATGCTGGGTTGTATTAAAAATACTGATATTTTTATCTATTTAAGCATTTAACTACTTACTAGATGTTTAAATATAAGGAAAATTTTACTAGAAAAACTCCACAAGGACCAGGCAGCAGACGGGACTCGAACCCGCACCCTTCGCTATCCGGGCGAATGCACTGACCATTATGCTACCGCGGCCCTGATGGCCGTGTCCGATTGGATTTATTTTTCTATTTAAAGTTTATAAATAAAGATGTATTATAAATATTTTTATTAATATTTAGGTACTATAGTATTACGTTTCATAAACACTGCATCAATCTCACACTAAGTACTTTGCTCTTGAAATTATAAAAAAAGTAGTTAATTGTTCGTAGAGTTGAATATAGTAGATTACATAACACTAGAGCCTGCTGTTCTGAAAATTATAATTAAATAACTATATATGGTAGTGGCACACATAACCGACCAGAACCAATAACTGAACACTTCCATCCGCGATTAATGAAAACAAGAGTAGGCAACCATTCACTAAATATGATGCTCTGTATTACCACATTTAGTATGGGCCACCCTCTTCTACTTTTATTGATCACAGAAGAAATATAATAGGGAAGATGCAGATATAATATTTATAGAAAATTTATGATTAAAATGTTAAAAAAATATAAAAGAAAGGCCACTGCAATGTTTTTATTTTACATAATATTGTTTTTTAACAATAATTACGAATTAAAAATGACTTGAAAAAAACGTATTTTAAAACACCAATCAGCGTTTAGTGACGTCACTCCTGACACTTATGACGACTTATTTGAGGTTATGGTTGTAAAAGTAAATATTATTTTATGGGAATATTAATTGCGTTTTTTAATAAAAATAGAAGTTGCGTTTATCAAAGCAGACTCCAGGAATTTACCAAGAGTTAGTTTTGACATGGTTGTAACTTTTTTTGTCCAAAGTGCAGAGTTTTCAAGTGTAGAAATGAAAGGGACTAAATTACTACGGTATGTATAAATCATAGTTGTTAAACTTTGTATTTTATTCAGCGGTTTCTACTCATAGCAGTTATTTCAGCTTTCAGCAGCAGGCTATGTCCAAATTAAAAGAGATGGAGAATTATGTACAGTAAAAAGTCGAGATACTGCGGAGTTACAGTTATTTTAAATGAAACGCAGAGCTTAGTTCAGTCCTGCCAATGTAAAGATTGTGCCACACATTTTAAACTTTATCCAAATTTAGACGTCATTGAAGAACTATCTCCTGAACAAGGTGCGGCGTTTTTTCACGCCCGATCAACTGTGCTTGTTGTACAAAACACAAGTGCGGTCCTGCGTGGAATATTGCTCGCACCTCTGGGATGGCTCCGCAAAGTACTTACGCGATGCCTTGGATAGGTTGCAGCGGCGCGCTGCCCGCATCATTGGCGATGAAGAGGCAACTAAGAAACTCGAGTCTCTACAATTACGCCGTGATGTGGCATCATTAAGCGAGGAGATCTGAGGAGCTATTCTTGCTTATCCCTCCATCACCTTTTCTTCAGAGGACCACGCGCGCTGGCCTACGTTGCCATCGACTTACTGTGGCCACTATTCCTACACGAACAAAGAAATTTGGCGACTCATTTCTTTGTCGTACTATTCGTAAGTGGAATTCTTTACCCGCGCACGTGTTCCCTCCTTCCTGATAATCTGGGGTCCTGTAAGAGAGGCGTGAAGAAGCATTTTTGCGGGCCGGCAAGGTGAGGATGGTTGGTGTAGCAGTTAATAACTGCTGTACCAGCTATCTTCGCGTTTGGAATTTATCACCACTTAACATCAGGTGGGGTAGAGTCATTTGCCTACCTAGTAATATAAAAAAAAAAAAAAAAGAAAAAAAAAAAGAACTGTAAAATTAAAAATATGTTATAGACAGGTTTTGAAAGTATTAGGTAGGTTACTAACGCGTTTTTACGTACAAGCAGATTAATTAAGCATGTAACAAGTATATTCGCCGACTTACGTCAAAGTGATCTTCAGATCATCGAATCATTCCTCTTTGGAGAATAATTGTCATTTCTTTTTGCAGCTTGAAACCACTTTTTTCTCAGTTATGGGTCAATTAAATTAATTCAATCAAAAGTCAAAAACAATTTATTTGGAAACTTTGTTGAAGTAGGTGGACACATTGGCACAAAACATGAGTCAACACGGCTTTTTTTCGGAATATTAGTGGTATTGTTATGATCATCTGATTCTGATGGATAGTCCATTTTAAATTTTTACAAAAAATATCACGAAATTCGAAAAAATATGCAAAAGTATGAAAATTTAAAACCAGCGACGAACAAGTACGACCAGTGACAGACAGGAGTGACGTCATCGAAACCATAGGTCCGTTTTCGCGCGAAAATTTAAACTGTCAATTTAAAACCATATTTTTTCCGATAAATTACAATATTTTAATTTTTTAATATTACTGTGGTTTATTCTACATGGAATTCTTAAAATGAAAACAAAAATAAAAATATTGCATCTTCCCTATTACTGGTTCATGTCAGTCCTTGGTGCCACTACCTTAACACCATTTTTAACAAACCTGTTACAAGGTCAGCAAACTTAAAATTTGCAAATTCTTCTGCTGCAGCATCCTCAAAATCTTGAGCTGTGATCTTGCTAACTACATCCAAGTCTATGTCAGCAGATTCATTTTTTAAAAGTTCAGCTTTAATTCTGTAATTTCAAAATGCAGAGCTAATCTCTCTTTAGAATTACATTGACATAGGTATCGATTCTGGCATGATTCTCTAAAGCTAAACTTAAATTTGACAACAGTGTATCCCTGTCATTCACTATACAGAATGAAAAGTACAGACTGATCGTAAATTTAGTTTTAAATTTAGAGAATCCTGCCAGAATCGACACCATTGTATCAAATGGGACAGAAAATATACTAAAATGCAGAACTCATTTGCTATCAAAATACTATTCTCATTTGTTTAATGAAATATTTCTTCAATATAAATTGGACTTGAGATGGTGTTCAAAAATATAATAATATAGGCAGCCTACATTATTTTAATACATTATCTATAGAAAGTAAAAAAATAATTTAAAGAAGCATGGAATCAAATATAACTTAGTATGAAATGGCTTTGAATTTAAATTATGGACTATGGCCTAGAAACTTTTATTTATTTAATGTTAACCTTTAAGCACTGACATGTGTTCTGAGAGGCACCAGCAGGCACTTGACCTGTTATTTTACCCCTTTCCCTGCACAATACCGATTCCTGCTTTTTAGTAGCTGGAAGGACAGTGCCTACGATGACGTCGGAACAGGCAGTATTGTCGTCGCTAACGTATTTGGTGAGTAATTACGGTTTGAAATTCCGAAGTGGTCCCTCAGGCCTGATGTCGGTACTTACGTTTAGCTTTTTGTTTTATTTTTTGCTATAGTGAACTGTTATTTTCACAGATATTAACATGGGCTTTTGTAACACCAGGGGCTTCCGGTAGTAAACAAAATAGTTGTGCAACAGTTTTACAGCATTCAAAAAGATTTCAGATATTTATCATCATCATCCTATTAATGTCCTCACTGCTAGGGCACAGGCCTTCCCTATGGATGGAATAGTGAGATAGAGCCATGACCCATCACACCAGCCCAGTGCGGATTGGTGGGTGCTAATGACAGTAAATGCAGTCAGGACCAAGGGCTTAACGTGCCTTCCCAAGCAGGAAAGCGTTTAGCGATAGAAAATTTTTGGTCACCTATCTGATGACAGACCACCGATTGAGGCCAAAAGCACTTACCACTTGCACTATCGAGTTCCTCTCAAATATGTTTAAATAATCAAAATTACTATAGCAAAAAATAAAACAAAAAGCTTACGTAAGTACCGACATCAGGCCTGAGGGACCACTTCGGAATTTTAAACCGTAATTACTCACCAAATACGTTAGCGACGACAATACTGCCTGTTTCGACGTCATCGTAGGCACTGTCCTTCCAGCTACTAAAAAGAGGAGCTCGATGGCGCTAGTGGTTATCGCGTTCTGCTGCGGTCGTTGAAGTTGAGCAACTTTGGCAGTGGTCGGTCATTGGATGGGTGACCAAAAATTTACTATCTCGAGCTCCTCCGTGCTTCGGAAGGCACGTTAAGACGTTGGTCCCGGCTGCATCTGCAGTTGTTAGCACCCACCAACCCGCACTGGGCCCACATGGTGGGTCATGGCCCAATCTCCCTAACTCATCCATAGGGAAGGCCTGTGCCCCAGCAGTGGGGACATTAATAGGCTGATGATGATGATGATGATGATGAATCAAAATGGTAAGCGAGTGATTAAGAATTGGCAAGAGTACTTGGTTCTGATAAACCAGAAACATGTGAAGATAAAGCTAAAGAAGTCAAGACACGAAAGAATTGTCTTTTATGCAAACCTAAATTGAAAAGAAAATTAACCTGTAGAAACTTATTGTGCAAAAAACTATTTTTTTGCAGTGAGCAAAACAAGTGTGAGCTGGCTGTGCTTTGAATTTTAAGTAAAGTTAGACTGTGGACACTTTTTTTTTCAGAAAGTTTATATTTATACAACACTTTTTTCCAATAATTACATTAGTGGTAATAGGGAATTACTATTTATTATTATTCTGAGATGTCTCTCTTAATCTTTTGTGATATCTTTTGTGTTTTGATTTTTTATATTGAATAGTCCAATTTCTTCCCAAAATTCAAGCCAAATATTATTTTAGTCTTATATTTAAAAATGTATTCTAAGAATATTTTTTTCTATACTTATATTTTCTTAAGACCCTTTATTTTACATCATAAGGAAGGAAAAATATTCAACTCATCACTTTCTTAATAAAAATCGTTACCTATTATATATGCAGACCTCACATCTGTACTAATGTTACTAAAAATGCACGTCGGTACCTATAGGTTAACATAAATATGTATTTCAAAATTGCTTACTATGAAAAATTCATATTGCAAATAGGGAAAAGGGAAGATCTTTAAGAAATATTCATGATCTACCCCTTTTCTGCCACTGTCTCCAATTATTTTCTTTTTTTTTGTTTTTAAAGTAACAAAGATAATTACAGAGATAGCATAGAGATTAACAATAGGACGAACACATAATTTCAAAATTTGGAAATAAGTTAATACCAAGGTTTCATAATTATTTCAAATGGGTTATTTAAAATTTACAACTTACTTATCATTATCGTGCCTTAACTCATGATCTGACTTTAAACTATTCTCAACTTCAATAGTGTAAAGCATTTCTTTGTATTTCTTTTGCATTGCATTTAGGGGTGGAGTGACTACAGGGAGCCTTTCAACGCATACTCCAGTGATAATATCCCATGATGGTTTTGTACTTAAACCTGCAACAAAAAGATATTACAATATTGTAAACAAATTAATTGGTAACCTACACTAAACCAATACAAGAAGATGAAAAACATACCCCTTATTAGTATTCGCTGACTATGCCGTAATTCTTGAAGCACTGTTTTAAGAAACATTTTTCAAAAGATATTTTTGAAAACAAGTATTAGATTTCTTTATACCTAATTATTAGATAATTAAATTAAACTTCTCATCCTTTTGAGGTTATTTATTTATACTTGTTTTTTTTTTGTTGAAGTTCTCCCGTTTTAGGGAAGGCAAAGGGAACAATGCCCATACAGCCTAATCTTTAATTAAATTTATTTTCTTTTTGTTTTTACATTAGAATGTCGGTGTGACGCATTCCAATGTTTCTTGGAGTGTTTGGCACGAAATGTATCGAGTTGGCTTTTTCGATAAGCTTCTGTGAGGTAGTCAACACTACAATAAAATTCTCACGTCCACTTGACCAGAATAGCGTATATTTTAATGATTCCACTAATTCTTCAGTTACGCAGACAGTTGTTACACAAAACCACACCAATTTTATTTCACAATATCCACTATGAACGAATTTAAGAATAATTAAAATAAGACGCCAACCGCACTCGATGAAATCCCGCCAAAAAAAAAACCTTATTTATACTTGTCTATTTTGACTTCTGACAACAACTTCGTTTATTCCAAAATGAACTTTAAGAAAATGAAGTAAGTAATACAATTCACTAAAACTATAATACGTTATTTTTTACTTATAGGCAAAGAATACTAAATCCATGCTAGGGATATTCGATATACATCGATGCATCGAAAACATCGATGTTTGCAATGAAAAACATCGAATCGGTCCGATGTTTTGAAAAGCTTTCAATATACTCGATGCATCGATGTTTAAAAAAACATCGAATTGGTAATACAGTTTGACCACGTAGTGATAATATCCTCTTTTTGGTTTAACCTCAGTAAAGAAAAACTTAAGTTTGACCACTAAAACTTTACTTATTACTGTTATGAAAGCATTCCGAATTCTCTGATATGGCTCCGATGTTGGCAGCACTGCGCAAGAGTCAGTGCAGTGACAATAAAAAATAACTAAGAGTTTCTATGTTTTCTATGTTTAGCGTTTCGGTTTCTATTGTAAAATTCAGTATAGTTTCAGTGTTAACAAAAGTATTCCTTTTAACAATGTTTTCATTTCTACGTTTGGCAAGTTAAGTTCTTAACACCGTTGACTTGACTGTCCAAACGACAGTGATGTGCCAGCCAGCTAAGTACTTACTGCTTGACTGTCCGGTTTCTAAACTCGGCCTCTGCATCATACCAGGAATTTTAAACGCGCCGCGCCATTATTACACCAGAATCGGCACATTGTGAGGATCGTATTTTCCATGTACTATTCTGCATAATATTTATATATGGCAACACTACTCTGTCTTTTCCGGCTCTCTGTGTCAATGAAAGTAGGTGTAGTTGTTTCGAAAATCCATAAAAATCTTATGAATTTCGCAATATTTTATAGTTAACTTAATTTTAATTTAGAATTTATTTGTATTCCAACCCTCATAAAGTAATATTTTATTTATTAACTTTCGATTTGTTATAATGTTAACATCTGTCAACATATACCTACAAGTTTTGTAGGTTAGTTACCAGTTGTTTCAATGTTATCTTTTGTTTTTAGGCCACAAAATGAAGCAAATAGTTGCTAATCAGAAAGTGAAGATCCCTGAGGGATTAACAGTTCATGTGAAATCTCGGTTGGTGACGGTAAAAGGACCGCGCGGTGTTTTGAAGAGGAACTTCAAACACTTGGCTGTGGATATTCGCATGGTGAACCCACGACTTTTGAAAGTAGAGAAATGGTTCGGTTCCAAAAAGGAGTTGGCTGCTGTCAGAACTGTTTGCTCCCATGTCGAAAACATGATAAAGGGTAAGCTACTATTATTTGTTAACAAACCTCAAAAGTCTAGATATGAACTGGTTCCGATTGAACTCAATTCTATAAATTTGAGATAATGTTGGGACAGTATTGTGGATGTTAAAAAGTCCAATAGCAGGTCTATGTAATGTTTTAGTTGTTTCACCTTGTAAGTTTTACATCACTATATCACTATCATGCTCTCTCCATGGAATGAAGAGCTGCTGTCAAGTTTACTAATGGCAAATACGAATGCCATGTGAAGTGCTGGCAGTAGATATGCCATATAGTATATTATGCAAAATATTTGACTGTAAATAAAGTAAATGTAAAATTAAAATATCCTAGTCATTAACAAGTTACTGACCAGGTACTGTACTCTAAAAACAAACTTATAAGACTTTTAAAATAATACTGGTTTGTATAAATTGAATTTCTCATTATTTAATTTCAGGTGTAACTAAGGGTTTCCAGTACAAAATGCGTGCTGTGTATGCCCATTTCCCCATCAACTGTGTTACAACTGAAGGAAACTCAATGATTGAAATCCGTAATTTCCTTGGTGAAAAATACATCAGGAGAGTAAAAATGGCACCTGGAGTGACTGTTATCAACTCTCCCAAACAAAAGGATGAGTTGATCATTGAAGGAAACTCACTTGAAGATGTATCCAGCTCGGCTGCTCTCATCCAACAGTCAACCACAGTTAAAAATAAGGATATCCGAAAATTCTTAGATGGCCTTTACGTGTCTGAGAAGACCACTGTTGTGTTGGATGAAATATAAGGACATTTACTGAAGCCTAAACTATTGTTTGATTCACAAATGATTATCAGACATCTGATAATTGGGTGCTTATTACCTGAACTTCAAAAAAGTACTGTGAGAAGTGCAAAATATTTTTCACAGCATCAATACTATGTTGTACTGTGAAAACCCAGTATATTGAAATGGGTTGATAATACAAAATCACAATTTAGTTTTTCATTTGCAGAAATCTTTTAATGTTTTTCTATCTATCCATTATTGTGATGATAATTTCTACATACCATAATTGTGTGTAGAGAAAATCCATTAATGTGTTTCCATTGATCAATGGAAATTAATGGACTTTCACAGATGAAAAACTGAGTCAATTTGTATTCTCAACTAATTTTGATTTACGTGGTTTTCAATGTATAACAATGATTATATTACAAAAATAATGTATTTAGTGGTAATAAAGTTTGTAATAGTAATGATACAAGTTGTACTTTCTAGCAACTTGTATTTGGTAATTATTTGAAAGTTTAGGTAAATAAAAGCAAGATTAACCAGACCCCTGATGATTATGATTTCTTGTTTAAAAATTTTATCCCGTTGTTCATGTACTCACAGTAAATGTAAGGGAAGGATCTGATGTTTCGTTTCAAAAAAAGGTATTTATCTAGACTGACCTTCATTAAAGTAGTAAATATGCCAATAAAGACCTATTAGCATTACATATCCAACATTTACAAAAATTGGAAGTCCAAAATAGTTCTGGGCATAAAGGAGTACCTACTGTTATTTTTCAAATCAAGGGGCATACAGGGTGTCTCACGGGTTTGTCACATGAATGGAAAGTATCTTGAAGATAGGATATTATACTGTAAGAAGACATCATTTTATTTTTAATGACAAATAGAATTGCATTCACTGATTTTATTAAAATCACCTTAGTCCAGGCAACGAATGCTCAAAAACAGGTATAGAGGGAAATGCTTGGAACACAATTTTTGACTTCGTAACTTTGTTAGGACTAGTTAGGAGGTAAACATCAAAAGTCCCCGCCCGTAGCCCTTAAGCCGGGGGGAAAGGGGGGGGTTGAAGGTCCCATTTTTAGGTTTTTCGCATACGGGCGGGGACTTTTGATATGTTTACCCCATAACTAGTCCTAACAAAGTTAAAAATTGTGTTCTAAGCATTTCCCTCTATACCTTTTCGTTGCCTGGACTACCTGCTACAACTGTGAATTAAACTCATGAAATTTGAAAAAATAAAAAAAACATATTTTATGGTAACTATCGAAAGGGGTAATCATAAGGATAAATTTTTACTAAGTAACATAGCATGAACATAGCATAATAATTGAAAGGGAGATCATTAAATTAAAAGTTTCTTCAGGAAACTTTTCTGTGCTTCCAACAGCTCATGTTATCATTTCAAAGTATTTACTAACTAGTACCGGCTCACTTAATAATACATGATTTCCTAATTATACCGATACTTAATTATAATTAAAGCTTTATTTTGTTTTCACGTACTTGTAACTATACAAACCTTGCACCATTTCTTTTTGAACGTTGTTTGTGTTCAATAATGGTGTCGATTCTGGCGTGATTCTCTAAACTCATCAGTCTTTCCCTTTCATTCTGTCTAGAGAATTACAAAGATACACTGTTGTAAAATTTAAGTTTAGGTTTAGAGAATCATGCCAGTCAAGATCTACAATGAGTCAAACACTACTTACCAGTCTTTCCATATGGTCGATTGAAAAGGACAGAAAAGTAAAGATAATGTCACCGAATATTTTAGGAAAATAAAGTCATGTACATAAGCACGTTTAGTATTATCCGCTTTATTTTAAGGGTGTTCATTAAGAAGTCGACCCGGGTGTCAACCCATGCTACGCCGCCACTGAGTTCCACACAAGAAATAAAACAGAGAGAAAAAAGAACAGCCCTTGCTGAGTTTTGCCGAGAACGGGGACCGTGAGACGAGCGGGCGGAAGGCACATTCTTGTCAAAATTAAAATTGCCAGCCACCCGCACCTCTCAGGCCCCCGTTCTCGTCTTCCCCCACACCCTGTACCCCGCAGGCGAGGTCTCACTTATGCGGTTTACCTATAGCTGGGGAATAAAATTCAAACTGGCAAGGCTTTGAATAGACGCTCAATTCACTGCCTCTGAACTCTATACATTTAATCAACATCAATGGGCTAGAATCATTTGCTGGGCCTCACCAATATATTTTAAGCTATTGTATAGCTTTTATCGCGGCGACCGAATCAAGAAATTCCGTAACGAAAATAAGCTGACAAGAGTGCATATGATACCAATTTTTGCCATTCCAATGATGTCGATTCTGGCATGATTCTCTAAACCTAAACTTAAATTTCTCGTTTGTTTCCCTCGCTGACGCTCAGGATTCTAATTTAGAATCACTCGCTGCGCTCGTGATTCAACTTTAGAATCCTTCGCTTGCTCGGTCATCCAAATCGAGCACGCGGTTAAAAAGGAACTTTCCACTCTTGTATAATAAATAACTATTTAAGTTTAGAGATGCACGCCAGAATTGACACCTCTATCGATCTAAAGTGTTATGTTTTTGCCACGGGACCAACGTTCGACGCATCACCACGGTGAAATCCTGCACTCATTATTTTATTATTATTTTTACCTTTTTCTTACTTATACATAAATACTAATAATACTGCATAAATAAATAATTATAATTGCATAATTTGATAAAAAATGCTATGCAATAGCTTTACCGCGGCAGACACCGAGTGCCACACGTATTTTTTTAATTCAAAATACATAAAATAATACATTAACCCATACACAGAGCGTCCCACGGATGTCAAACGGACGGAGTCTATTAAATATTGCAAAATGGATATTTTACTGAAGGAAGACATCATTTCATTTTTAATAATAAGTAGAACTGCATTCATGGTTTTAAAGAAATCGCCTGCCACAACCGGGAATTAAATGTGAAACAAATAAACACATGTATTTTATGATGTCCGTCGAAAGGGTTAATCATGTGGATTATTTTTTCCTAAATAACAGCATTTTAAATGAAAGAAAAGTCACAAAATGTGACTTCTTTTTAATTATCAACTTTATTTTTCAGAAACTTCTTTCACAAGGAGCCATCGAAACAAAATTTCCAAAATAATGTCCCCTGCAGAAAGTTCATCATAGATTTTAGTTAGATTATGAGCTAAACCACGAAGTTCTTCTATTAACGTAAGCAGATTTTTAGGCTGAATAACACCAAATGTTAGGACAATGTCATTCATTGCTCTGTAACGATACTCTAGTTCTTCTTAAAATCTATCAAGACATTCGAACAAAGCTCTTTGCAACTCTTCTGGCATTGTTTGTCCAGCGTCTTAGGACATTTCTGGCATACGTTTTTGGGATCTCCTCCTTCCTCTTCTTCCAACGGAAATATCCAAGTCCTCATGTTTTTCAGTTGCGTAGGAAATAACCCTTTCCACTATTGGGATACGTTAAGTTTTAAGAAACATTTTTAGAGCTTTGATTTTTATGACACATTTTTCGAGCCGAGAGATAGCCAAGATGTTTGCATTGTGTCTGATTAACTTCTTCTAGGATTTCAAAGCAAGAAGAGAGGAAGTATAAAAAAATGAGGTCACACAAAGCTGGTAAAAGTGTGGATGCTGTTTATCTTGTGTGGACGTTTTCTCTGCTGCTTCTGGTTTCACACATGTCTTCGAGTGTTGACACAAGTTTCTCAAAATTATTCTTTAGTGATTTAATAGCATCGTGATCGCACTCCATCTTGTCTCTAATAGTCTTTTGACCTATACGCCTACACTTTTCATTAGCATTTCCCATCGATGTGTGGATGACGAGAAGATCGTAACTTTTTTTACTGTTCCATAAAATGTTACACGTGAACTAACACTCCCGAAAGACTGCACCCAATATAATGATTAGCACAAGACACAAACAACGCTTTAGGATTGTGATCTTTAATTATTGCTTCTACATCACCATGAACTCCCGCCATGGTTGCAGCGTTATCATATCCCTGTGCTCGACATAGATGGATGTCCAAGCTATCACTCTTTAACTGCGTAAGGATATTGTCAGTAAGTTCGACTGCAGTCTTTTCAGTTATAGGAAAGAAACCTAGGAATTATTTCTTTACTTCAACTTGATCGCCTTCAATAAAAACATATCTAATTACATAACTCACCTGATCAACATGTGATAAGTCTGGAGTCTATAAAGTTTTTTTTGTTGTCTAATATGTTATTCTTCATCTCTTTCCTCAAAAGACTAATGAACTCATTTTGAATGTCTTTGGATAAATAATAATCTATCCGTTTACTTTTTGTACACTTTCAATTCTTAGCATGTGCTCTTTTATCATTGGGTCATATTTTGATAATAGATTAACTAATTCTAAGTAAATAAAGATTTTCGCATGGCAGGAAAAGAATAACATCTAAAAGGCGCCTCAAAATGTCACGCCACTTCTTTTTTTCTTGGTCTCAGACCATATTTTGATGTTGATGGTTGATAGTTTTTTGCAGCCTCAATGCATTCTCCAAGATTTTCCTTTTTTCAAAATAGGAGAGATGGCCCTCAGAATTCTCGTTTTCAAATACTAGCGGCCTTATTCCAAAACGCGGTCTTAAGTTAGTCTTGGTTTAAACTTAATGTTGTCTCTGTCTTCATTTTAGCGAATAAAAGTGACAGCGTCAGTTTTGAACAAGGTTTAACTTAAGTCTGCGTTTTGTAATATGGCGGTTTAGTATTTAGTTTTACCATGAATTAAATCCGTTGATGAAACTCTGCTTTGTTTCATGGTGCGTAAACAGTTTACAACAAAATCAGTATTAGAGAGTATACCACCCATTTTATGAGTACTTACCTACTTTTTCTTCATTTGGTAACGCTTTATAAAAAAAATCCGAATGGAAATTTAAATTCAATGGAAACACGGAAGGAAAGAGTCGACACTCTTTCCTTCCGTGCGCGCCGTCTTTGTTTTTATTTTATTTTTTTATAAACACACCAATAGGGAAGATGCAATATTTTTATTTTTGTTTTCATTTTAAAGAATTCCATGTAGAATAAACCACAGATATATTAAAAAATTAAAACATTGTGATTTAACGGAAAAAATGCGGTTTTAAATTGACAATTTAAATTTTCGCGCGGAAACGAACCTATGGATGCGATGACGTCACTCCAGTCTGTCACTGGTCGTAATTGTTCGTTGCTGGCTTTAAATTTTCATACTTTTGCATATTTTTTCGACTTTCGAAATATTTTTTTAAAAAATTTAAAATGTATCCATCCATCAACATCATGTGATCATAACAATACCACTAATATTCCGAAAAAAAGCCGTGTTGACTCATGTTTTGTGCCAATCTACTTCAACAAAGTTCCCAAATAAATTGTTTTTGACTGGAACTTCTGACCCAAAACTGTGGTTTCAAGCTGCGAAGAGAAATGACAAATATTCTCCAAAGACCATTATTCGATGCTGAGAAGATCACTTTGACGTAAGTCGGAATACGAATAAAATACGAAGTTTAACAACTACGATTTTTACATACCCTTTCATTTCTAAACTTAAAAACTCTACACTTTGGACAAAAAAAGTTATAACCATGTCAACGCTAACTCTTGGTAAATTCCTGGAGTCTGCTTTGATAAACGCAAATTTCATTTTTATTAAATGTAAAAAAACGCAATAAATATTCCCATAAAGTAATATTTACTTTAACAACCATAACCTCAAAGAAGTTGTCATAACAGGAGTGACGTCACTAAACGCTGATTGGTGTTTTAAAATACGTTCCGTTTCAAGTATTTTTAATTCGTAATAATTGTTAAAAAACAACATTATGTAAAATAAAAACGTTGCAGTGGCATTTCTTTTATATTTTTTTAACATTTTAATCATAAAATTTTCATAAATATTATGTATGCATCTTCCCTATTAGCCTAGCCCCAAAGTAAGCACTGTAAGGCTTGTGTTATGGGATACTATAGTAACGGATACAATACGTACATATATAAGTATATTTATATATAAATACATATTAAACATCCATGACTGCAGTACAAATGCAGTCATGGATGTTTAATATGTATTTTAAATAAAATTCATCACACGAACATCTTCCTCCACCGGGATTCGAACCCGGGACCTCTCGAGTCGGTGACACCATGAAACCCGGCGTACAAACCACTCGGCCACGGAGTCTTTGTCGTGCAGATGCGCCAGTGGCTACTAATCTACGCGACTGAGTTGTCATTCCGCTGTCACCCCTTGATGCTTAGCACCCGGGGCAGACCGCCCCTCCTTTACGCCGCCACTGGTGGAACTTGCTGCCAGCATTCCTGCTGTCATGTTGCTACATTTAAAAAACGGTTGAAAAAACACTATCTATCCTTTTAAATCACTGTTTCTGAACTGTATTGCTTCTCCTTTTTAACACTTGTATATTTTATTTAAGTTTAGTATATATGGTTATTTGTATATCTATGTGAGATATATGTAGGTTTTGTTTATGTAAGTATTGTATTTTGTTATTTAAATTCAGGAGGCACACACTGATGACCTTTTTATGTTCTTTCCTTTCGCAGGCCTGCTGGCAGAAATTTCAATATGAATAAGCTGTGCCCTTGTACAAATTTATTGTTCGTGTTGTTCTTATCTGTTTTATTGCGTGTGTACTAAATGAGTATATAAATAAATAAAAATACTTATTTACAGTCGTCAAGCTGAAAAATGACTGCAAATATATGATTCATGAAGTCACCTTTCATTACATAGGTAATGTGAGATATACCTACATTAATTGTTCACCTGCATTTTGATTGCTGTGTCATACAGTATAAATACAAATAGTGTTATTTATAAATATTAGGTGTAACTAGAATTTATTACCGTGTGGAGCGGAACATGAGCACAAGAATCAGTTCACGAGACAAATTGTATTTTAAATCTTTCGCAGTACAATCTCATCGTCCTCCCACGACAACGGATAACTAGAGCCGACGTCCGAGTCTCAGAGACGCCCTCTAGTTGAGCCGATCCCCTATGATTCGAATGTTCTAGAGGCTCCAGACGGAGAGGAGACTCCTCCGTGGGGAGATACCATTCGCCTCGAATACCTCTATCCTGGTTTGCTGTAAGGGTCATCTGCGACCAACAGCATACACACTCAAAAAAAAAAGCCTCACTATGCAGCGAGACGCGGAACGTTGTCTACGAGATCACAACGCTGCAAAATCGTGTGTTGCGCGGTGCCACGGGTTGCCCGTGGTACGTGCGCAACATCAATTTGCATCGCGACCTTAAATTAGACTCCATTGCGAAGTATAGGAAGGACGCCTCGAGGCGTTACTTCGATACAGCCGCGCAACACTCGAACCCCTTAGTAGTTAAAGCGATTAGTTATCATACGTCCGCCCTCCCGTCCTCCAATCGTAGGTCACTCCGAATCCGTCGGCCTAGGCACGTCTTAAGACTACCCCAAGGACGAAATCACCCGCGCCAACGCGCCTCCGATTTCTCCCACACAGGCCACAAACACCTACACAGCTAGCAAACGTGCACACGAGCTTAGCATTAGGCAGACACCGCACCCGTTGGATAAGAGTGCGAAGGCCCGGTCTACACACTACACTACACTACTCGCTGCACAGCGAGGCTTTTTTTTTGAGTGTGTATGCTGTTGGTCGCAGATGACCCTTACAGCAAACCAGGATAGAGGTATCCGAGGCGAATGGTATCTCCTCACGGAGGAGTCTCCTCTCCGTCTGGAGCCTCTAGAACATTCGAACCATAGGGGATCGGCTCAACTAGAGGGCGTCTCTGAGACTCGGACGTCGGCTCTAGTTATCCGTTGTCGTGGGAGGACAGTGAGGTGTTGTACTTGTTTGTTTACGGACTGCCCTGGCGGGACTATCGTTAACTCTTCAGCACTTGTATGAATAGTCGCAGCGAGATGAGGCTGTTCTTCAATAGGGTGTTGACCTTAGAGCGTCGTAAATGCTCTAAGGGTGTTGACACTTTTTTTTAAAGAAAATTACCACCACGATCCTGTGTAATGCCTCTGGCGTTATTCCTTCGTGAATAACGGAATTGAACAATCGCTGAAAATTTTTACGAACTGGTTTTCCACCCGCTTTTGGGAATGCTTTTTTGAATCCGTTATACCCTGGCACTTTGTTATTCTTCAGTTTTTTGAGAGTGTTACTAATCTCGTGTACAAAAGACATGCAGGATATCTTCGGTATAGTGTCGGCTAACGGTCTTTAACCAAATTATCGACAGGTTTTGTATTAGGAAAGGGTACGGCCACAGTGCACGCAGGTTCAGAATCAGATTCAGACAGAAAATCAGCGCGAGAACAAACAGTGTAGTTTAAGCAGCGTGGCCATAGTGGCAGCAGGCAGGCAGTCTGAATCTGATTCTGAATCTGCGTGCACTGTGGCTGTACCCATATACACTAGGCATCACAAAAATCGCACCTCCGCGAAAATAACTTGGAAGCGTAATTATAACCCTTAACACACGCATTTACTCCCACTAATATTGGTGCAAGTTAGAAACTCATTAAATAAACTTAAAAAAAAACAATTACATTATTTTTTATTTTTTATTGGAATAGTGCAAAAAACAATGAAATTTATAAAACAATAAAATAAAAATCCTTAATTAAGCCTTAAGGCTTAATAATCTGTTTTTAATTTTGTAATCTTGTCAAAATTACAAGTGCATGCCGCCCGCACCTCTCAAGGTCCCCGTGTGGTTTCAATCCTACGTTTCTTCACTGGTAAACTGAAATCTGCATTATTCTGACAAAAAGGCGGATTTCACTTAATGATATAAATCTTAGCAAAACAAGGGTATAAGTTAGCTAGAGGTGTAAGAGAAACAACAATAGAATTTTCAACGTAAATAATTTTATTCAAACTATTCTATTGAACATCACTAACTCATAAACGCTGTACATCTGCAAATATGGGTATCTGGTTTGTAAAAAGTAACTAAATTACAAAATACATTAATTACACTTAATTATACACAGTTAACACGATCGATTAATTAAATATAATACCTACTTAGTCGATAAAATAAATAGCTATTAAAATAAATCATTCTCATAATAAAATATTGTTAATACACTAGTGTATAAACTTAAAATTATTAATTATTTACACAATCCCAAACAAAGGAATCACAACCAGCATCATAAGTTTGCCAAACTAATTAACCATGTAAAGTTGATTATTTTGAAAGTTTTAATTAATTCTTTGGTAACCAACTCGGTTAGCAGGTTGTTTATGATTGAAAATGGCTAGTCATGATTCCTCATTTTCGTCAAATTTGTCTATCATACAAACGGTACTTGACAAGCAGATGTCGTGTTAAAATACAAACAAGTTCAAACTACCCTCAAAGAATAATTATTAAGTACATAAAGGCGTTGTTACCCCAATTACTTCTTTCATATGTATTATAAGTGCAGCAACAGTAAAACAAACAAATATTAAATTGTCTAATTAAATAATATATTCTTTGTAAATGTAAAAAAGAAATACGATTATTTAAAAAATAACTCCAAATTAAGCACTCACTAAATAGGAAATAAATAACTTGAAGTAACAGCAATAATAATAATTCGGTCTAAAGCTTCACATGCTCGCGTCTTCGGCCATATTTGCAGATGGGCACTCTATTATTTCGTACGAAAATAAAATTTTAATAAATAAATGTCAAACACTATTAAATTGGTGAGACATTTCACACCATATAACACAATTGCTTACTATAAAAATGATCAACAAACAACTTGCACCTCGTCTAATGTGTCAAGGGAACATCGGTGTGCAGAAAATGTCATGAGATTCAATATTTACTATATATCATATTGCCTTTTGAGCAAATAATCCTGATATTAGGTAAGTACGTACTTATATGCTAGCCTTGCGTGAGGTGGGTTTGACTACGTAGCGTCATACAAGTACACAACTAGTAAGTATATCATGATTCATATGGCGTTACATCACCGGTGCACCGTGACTCGCTTCGTCTCATTGTAATAACTTTACTATTTGTATAATATATCATAAATTAATAGTAAACTCTTAATCCTGACGAAGATTTAAAATGTATCTAGCAACCTGAGTAAATTAACATGAATTATAGCATTTTATATAATTTATTATTCAATATACAATTTTATATATATAATTGAAGCGCAATAGTGGATTTGTCAAATTAATTAAATTATTATTACATAAACACTGCATATGACGAGATTGTCACTAGTTAAAATTTGCACATTAAACATAAGCTTCTACGGTGAATGCATAATAATATTATAATATCCGTCTGGTCAACAATTTACGCACAAGTGAAAATTTACATTTAATTTAGTAATTCAAATAACTTCTTACGCTAAATGAACTCGGATAGGGGTCTCTATCAAGCGTTTATTTGATAAAAAATTTAATCGTAAAGAGTCGACCGTCTAAAATCACAAGACTAACTAAGTCACAGTCGCGTGGCGTTCGCTCGACTCCTGCCGTCTACGATATTGTTTACCATCACTTTAACAAGTATGGTTCGTATCTCTTATGTGTTATGATTTTATAGACGAACACTATAATTAATGACTGAATAAATTAGGGATGACTAAAAAGATACGATCTCTATAAGGACGTATCCATTGATGTAAAAAAATATATAAAACTTGAGTTACGAAACATGCTCATTAAGGTAGTGTTATGATACGTAGTTTTAACAACTTTATTGCTATACATCGTATCGTAAAAGGCGGGGCCGTCGACTAATCTAATTTTGTGACCGAGATATGCTGGCTCTACCTGGTTCATTCGGCGAATTTAACGTTTATACAGTCTTAATTACTAAGCAAAGGTAGACGAATGTAGAGTACGAGATTAGTCTTTGAACATTGATACGACTTTTTGGTATAGAGTAGGTGCTTTTCACTAAGTAAGTCCTAGGAGGTGGTACTAATCTTTATCCTTAGAAACGTTTCTCGCAACAACTTAAGATAATTCTGTTAATTACAAGAATAATAAAAAAAAGTTTCATAGATATCCACGCAACAATGACAAAAACTAAAAACATAGCCGATCTGTCCGTTCCATTAACTGCCGCAGGACTTCTTTTTGAATGGGACTTTATGTATATAAATGTAGGTTTTCAAGAAGTTTTACGCCGATACTTGCCGCCACTGTGTCATAAGGTAAATAATAAATTCACCGAGTTACTCATTTAACTCCCTAATTTATAAATAGACAAGAACAGTAAAAGCGATTTGACGGATGTGATAACATCTCGCCTCGATCTGAACCCATTCAAACCCACATCATAACTGTGGTGTTTAACATTTAAAAAAAATCTGTAGAGGGGCCATAGAATTAATGTGCTCCGTAAAACAGATATTCACAATTTACGATTGCAATAGGGTAGTTAAATAATTATGATTTTGTATTTCACGTTTCAAACATCGAAAAGTATGATTAAACAAATACTTTTCTGTGAAAACAGAATTAAAATCCTTCATGAATACAAATTATTAACAACAACAAAATAACTATGGTGGGTGCAGCTTGCTATCTCTTTCGAACTTATGGCGCTTACGTCTCTGTATATAGTGGCGTCTCCGTTTTAACATTTGATTTATACCCCAAAAGTTTTATACTCACAATACAGTTATATATTTTATACATTTTGGCTAATTTGCTACCCTTTTGCGTCGCTTTAAGGCTTCAGAGTACCAGTTCTTTCAATTTATTACGAAACATTAACATACTGGCCCATAGTAAAGGCAATCTCGTAGTTACGCTACAATGACAATACAATTCGTCTACCTAAGTGTACGGGTGGTCCGAATCAACGATAACATGCGATTGCAGCGCGCGTATTATACGTAACGTTTTAAATACACACTCGAACAAACGAATCACTTCTGCCTTAGACGAGTGATAGGGGGGATCCTATTTATTAATACGATATGATTCAGTGTAAAACGTTTTATGGCGGCATTTCACTTGGCTATTCGTATCAATCAGAAATCAATATATCTTTATTAAAATTGGATGTATAGTACAACTCTTTTGAATTGTCCAAATTTTCTTTTCCCCACCACGCGTTACTGGAAATATTTTTTGCTGCGGAGAAAAACGAGCGAAGAAAACTCCACAAAATTAAAAGTATAATGTAAGAACATTTACAAATCATTATGTTGTTACAACATCAATACAATCATGATTTATTTAATATAAATAACCTGTTGGAATGATTTTTGAAGCATTTTTGTCTGTAATATAATCAGACACTTTGGAATAAGCTTTTTTAATAAGTGCTTTTTTATACTATCTTTTAATTAATTTATTGTTAACTCATATCGTATTTGCTGTTGGTAATTTTGAAAACAGGTTGCCCTTATCGTACTCCATAGCGAGCAAAAAGTGAGACTGTTGTAAAGTTTATAAATATCAATGACGAATAGCCAAGTGAAGTGCCGGCATTACACAGCGGTAACATGGTTGGATAAATTTAGTGTCAAAATGGAAAACATTTGCTTTTTTAACGAGTCATGTTGGTTGGATTATAGTGTAATTTCCACAGAACCTGGCCTATCAAACAACTTGCAAATGAACGAACTCGATGGGGCGATATTTGTACTTATTAGCGTACAAGGCAGATGATGCAATCGCAAGGCAAAGAGTATAATCGTAATGCTATCGCGTTTCGAACTTTCCGTCCGCGTTAATTATATACCGACAAAACAACGGGCGAGCTTTACCGCTGGGCGAGGGGGCGAGAACTCGAGGCACTATTCGGGTAATACACGCGGGTGTACGCAGTCGAAATGCCACTTACGGGCGAGAATCGCTTGAGTTCGCTGCCCGCGGATAGTTAAATCGGAAATAAAATTATAGTTGTCTGTCGTGTCAAAGACAGTGTTGGTTTCGTACATTTAGTTAGAGTACGCAGTCGTCACAACGCAAGATTCTAATCGTACAAAATGTATGAAACCAATACATCTTTGACGCGTCACGACACAACACTACATGTGTATATCCGGCTTTTTCGTCAATTTATATTAGAGCACAGTAGAAGCGTCAATCAGAAACACAACAAAGTAATTTCATCCTTATCAACGTGATCAAAAGTAGAAGCTCGGATTTGCACACATTCGACAGTTCAGAACGAATATTTGCATTACGTTGCGGATATAAGGGTGAATTTGCTATGTTACGTTTCTGAAGTTTTTCATCACGCTTGGATGGGTCGACTCTGCGCTAGTATGAATTGACTATTGGAGCAAGCGAGTTCGAGTGATTGTCGCCTTATAGCGTCGTCCTAATAAATAGCGATTATGCTAACATCGCAAATTCACGGATGATTTAATTCGTAGGAATCCGCAATCAAATATATTAATATTAATAACTAGCCGTACTTAGAATCACCTATGAAGTTTTTTAGTTTGCTCCAAGTTAGCGCATTTTTAACAAAAATAATGTAATATTCATGATCGCGGCTTCGAAGGACCAAAATCTGCACGAATGGTCGCATATTCGCCTTTTATTAGTACTATAGACGCGTAAGTGGCAGACCAGTATAGTGTGATTCAAACTTTATGGCGGCTGTGAAGTTAGCAACGAGCAACTATTATGCAAAGGTTTTCGCGCCATAGAATAATAATTTACATAAATGTAATTCTAAAATAGCAGCAATATGTATTCAGTCCGTCCTACTTTCACCAATAAGCCCGATAGTGTATTCGAAAGGGATACATATTGCACATTACTTTTGTAGTTTCAAGGTTGGACAGCAGTGGGGCCAAAACTTAAATATTAATTTATATGTTTAAAGCATGAGCTCAATGTTAAAACTGCTAACATTAGAAACAAAGTTTCTCTTTCAAACGCTTTTCAATGTTCAACCATCCAGTGTCATGCTATATAACTACCAAATCTTGGACAACTTAGAAAAAATAAAGAAAAGTAGAATAAAGTGTCGTCTACTGTCTCCCTTACACGCATTGAACTGCGCTTTAGTTCGATTAGAATAGTAGCGATCAAGCCGAACAATTTTTTACTAAAATATTCCTTCAAAATTGTAAATTACTGTTCTATGAGCTACATTTCGGTCTCGCTGCGACTCGCGCTAACTTCGCAGCCGTCATTGAGTTCAGATCGCACTATAAAATATGTGGAATCTATTCGACTTTAGTTCACAACGGTTCGCGTCGCGGCACCCATACTGTGGGTCCGCTTTCCGCCGTTATAACCGTCTTCACCTTGGCGTAGATCTCTTCCGGCGTATCGCCCGTAACCACCGCTAAGGGATTACGAGAAAACAGTAATCAATAAATAGAATCACTCACCAATAGGGATGATGAAAGAGAGCTCGATGGCGCGAGTGGTTAGCGCGTTCGGCTGCCATCGTTGAAGTTAAGCAACTTCCGTAGTGGTCGGTCATTGGATGGGTGACCAAAAATTTACTATGTCGAGCTCCTCCTTGCTTCGGAAGGCACGTTAAGCCGTTGGTCTAGACTGCATCTGCAGTCGTTAGCACCCACCAACCCACACTGGGCCCGCGTGGTGGGTCATGGCCCAAACTCCCTATTGCATCCACAGGCAAGGCCTGTGCCCCAGCAGTGGGGACATTATAAGGCTGATGATGATGAGGGATGATGACGTGGTAAAGTAAACGAAATTCTATTTCGTCCGTCAGTAAGATTATCAAAAATAAATGGACATTTTCTTTCCTTTTATCAATCAATTAAAAGCAGATTTGGGGGTGGGGGCTCGGGACGTTACTTCTAAGTAAACATTGTACCAAGACGTAACGCTATGCGATATTTCAAATCAATATATCTCTGTAATGATTTGATGATTATGTGATTGATTATTCACATAAAAATATGTGTCCAATAAAGAAAATATTACTAGAAAACATTCCACGCAGACCAGGCAGCACACGGGACTCGAACCCGCACCCTTCGCTATCCGGGCGAATGCACTGACCATCATGCTACCGCAGCCCTGACGGCCGTGTCGAATTCTTTCTAGTCTTTCTTAAGCTGCAAGGCAGCGCCATATCTGCGCATTGTAGATAACCCACAATGTCAAATGAATACCTTTACAAGTACATATTAAACGTTTGAAAGAAGAAATTGCAATTATAATTTTTATTTTTAAGCATGTAAATGCTCGATGTTTAAATCTAAAGAAAATATTACTAGAAAAAGTCTATGGGTTCGGGTTACGCCTGCTGCCTGGTCCGCGTGGATTTCTTTCTAGAATATTTTCTTTAGATTAAAACATTGAGCAGTTACATGCTTAAAAATAAAAATTATAACTATGTGTCAAATAGTTTTTCATAATCTACCTGATAGTTGAAAAAAAAAAGAAAGTTAGTCGTCATCCATATTTCACGGTCATCATCATCATCAGCCTATTAATATCCCCACTGCTGAGGGAACAGGCATTGCTTATTGATAGAACAAAGATATTGGTCCATGACGCACTCACTATGCGCGGATTGGTGAGTGCTAACGACTGCAGATGCAGCCGATACGAACGGCTTAACGTCCCTTCCCTAGTACGGAGGTGGTAATATAGTAAATTTTAGGTCACCCATCCGCGGTCACCATCATTATTAGCCTATTAATATTCCAACTGCTGATATACAGGTTTTTCGTATGGATAGAATAGGGAGACTGGGCTAAGCAGATTGATGGATGATAACGACTGAAGATGTAGCGGAGACCAACGGATTGACGTGCCTTCCGAAGCACGGAGGAGCTCGAGATAATAAATTTTTGGCCACCCGATGACCGGCCATTGGGAAAGTTGCTTAACTTCCACGATCGCTGACCTAACGCGCTAACCACTGCGTCAGTTGTTATGAGTAAACACTATTAAAGGCAATATATTTGTGAAACCATGGAAAGGACATTGTTCAGCGTCCATACATAGTTAGCCTAAGAACCAACAATCATGAAATATTATTTTCCAGGTTCGAAATCTAAGTAAATGACTGTAAAAACAAAGATTATTGACGGATACTTCTGAGAACTTAAATTATTAGGAAAACTAAATGTTTTTTGAGGTTATGTTTAATATTCAATGAAACATAGGTCACCATAATTATGAACTTAGTATGAAGTGAATTAATATAACAACTAATGCATTTTATTCGATGCGATTTTAAAGAATAACTACTTATTAGGAAAACCTTGGATAGGTAGGAATCATGAATTAAATAAAAACTGTAGTTTTGCTTCTTATTTATTGACTATTTTTCACATAATTGTATCATATTGTATATGGTATTTATTTATATATCACATGTATATTGTGTAAATATGCAGCGTGAATGTGTATTAGGTGTTCTTGAATAATTTGGCAGTATGATCCTCTCATGATGTTGTGGCATAGGTTCACTAGCACTTGGTAATAAGGTAACTCTTTGGTAACATCGATGGCATATTAGATAGCCGAAATAGTTAAATTATAAGAAAAACGATCGCAAATAAACACACACAACAGGTAATATGAAACGAGAATGCACTTTCCTGTATATTATACTACTCTTTGGAATGCACGAATGCCACAGATTACTACGAATGCAAACTGCCTGCTTGCACCACAACCACAGAGTATCGAGTTTTATGCCGGCCCTTCACTTGACAACAGTTTGTCCTTGTCATGCTTAATAAGGAATGAAAAGGACAGACTGATGTCATGTTATAAAATAGCAAATACGAATAACCAAGTGAAGTGCCGGTATTAGGAAGAAAGAGTGTTTTGTTTGCAGCGCTGTCATAGATTATACACATAAAATGGCATTCATTGGGTGTGTTCCGAAACTTAAGCCAATACGCTGGCCAGCGGTAATGACGTCAAGATTTCGACGCCATATTGCACTGGTGAGAATACTGTGACATATAATAGCTGGGTGTATACGCTCTGCAGTTAGTGAAGGTCTTTTTTGTATTAAATTAATAATAATGGAATCTCAACAAACAGAAAAATTAGTTTTGATCGATGAAGGGAATAACAAAATTTACAAACTTTATTATAATTTTTGGAGCATGAACGTTGCACACAAACACGAGACTGCTTGGATATAGCGCCAGTTCATGACCTCACCGCGCTGATCAGTGTATTTGGAAATTTTGGAACGAATCAACAGCATGGTGTCGATTCTTGACGTCATTAGCATTGGCCAGTATACTGGTTTATATTACGGAACACAACCAATGTCTCAGATTATTTTTTAACTTTTTAAATTAGCTTACTTAAGTGGAAGTGTCCGTCACAATCTAAATACTGATAATTATCCCAAAAAATATATTAAGAATTATCATAAATGCCAAATTGGTGTTGGTTCTTAGGCCAATTTTAACATTGTCCTTTAAAGCATGGACCATATCTCAGGCCTGAATAATACAACCCAAGTAATTATTATGCGATTGAGGTGTTGCTTTGCCATTGCTTAAGGATAAAGAATCCTTTCCATTATATCTTTCTGAGCTGAACAGATTGTAATAATCAATAAGAGTGAAATAATAAATATCGAAGAATAATAATTATCTTCTTACCAGTGAAATATTCAGCGAATTCTTGCTCCATTTTCAGAGCGCGTTCGTACGTTTTCTTCGCTTGTTCTTCGGTCATTCGTTTATTCATTTCCCTAAAAACAAGGTAATTTATATTTAAAGTTACGTATAATTACGTATTTATATATCAGGTATTACAGCTTATTTCAGAAATGATAACGAATAATCATACTCACATTATAGACTCTACGCTCTTTGGTTTTATAAATATGGCAATTGGATATAGCTGTGCTACTTGCAATCTTTTTATAGCGTTACCGCTGACGTCCAAAATGCAATGTTTGCCCTGAAAAAACATTTACAAAATTCATCAAAATTTTACTAGATCGATCTACGACTGTTACTAGGGCAGACCAAAAAAAAGAAACAAATATTAAGAGTTAAATTGTGATTTCATATTTCTTTAGATAAACAAGTCTTTATATAAAGAGTGCAAGATGTATGTACCTTATAACAAATGGAACAATCGAAATGAGATAAAAACGTAACTAAAACCTTCTCAGCTACTTCCGATACAAATTGTCGTTATATTACCTAGCCTCGATGAACAGTAAACAAAGCACGAAGAGTTTTTCTATCGCCATCGTCGTAGTTTCTATGTAAATTTAGCAGCACCCCTACCGGGTGTGAGAACAAACTGGCTCCTTCCATAGAAACTGACTATGGCGATACGAATACTTTCTCGTTAGTTGTTCGTAATTTAGGTAGCATCATCATCGTCCTCAGTGCTGGGGCACAGGCCTTCCCTATAAATGGAATAGGGTGATTGGAGCATGACCTACCACGCGGGCCTAGTGCGGATTGGTGGGTGCTTACGACTGTAGATGCAGCCGGGACCAACGGCTTAACATGCCTTCCGGCGCACCGAGGAGCCCGACAAGGAATATTTTTGGTCACCCATCCGATGGCCGACCACTGTTAAAGTTGCTTCACTTCAACGATCGCAGCTGAACCCGCTAACCACTTGCGCCATCGAGCTCCTCTTGACTCGTGAGTTTGAGAAGTACATCTGTAACTAAAGCACAAACAAATAGCGAGAAGTTCGGTATGAAGACGACATGAAGTAAAAACGTAGCTAATACCTTCTCAGCGACTTTCCCGATGGAGGCTACGGAGGTGCCGTACAGATTGTCGTTGTATTGTCCCGCCTCGATGAACAGATGGTTCTGTATGAAGACAACAAGAAATAAAAACGTAGCTAATACCTTCTCAGCGACTTTCCCGATGGAGGCTGTGGAGGTGCCGTACAGATTGTCGTTGTATTGTCCCGCCTCGATGAACAGATGGTTCTGTATAAAGACGACAAGAAATAAAAACGTAGCTAATACCTTCTCAGCGACTTTCCCGATGGAGGCTACGGAGGTGCCGTACAGATTATCGTTGTATTGTCCCGCCTCGATGAACAGATGGTTCTGTATGAAGACGACAAGAAATAGAAACGTAGCTAATACCTTGTCAGCGACTTCCCGGACGGAGGCTACGGAGATGCCGTAGAGGTTGTCGTTGTATTGTCCCACCTCGATGAACAGATGGTTCTGTATGAAGACGACAAGAAATAAAAATGAAGCTAATACCTTCTCAGCGATTTTCAGGACGGAGGCTACGGAGGTGCCGTACAGATTGTCGTTGTATTGTCCCGCCGCGATGAACAGATGGTTCTGTGTGAAGATGACAAGAAATAAAAATGAAGTTAATACCTTCTCAGCGATTTCCCGGACGGAGGCTACGGAGGTGCCGTACAGATTGTCGTTGTATTGTCCCGTCTCGATGAACAGATGGTTCTGTATGAAGACGACAAGAAATAAAAATGAAGTTAATACCTTCTCAGCGACTTCCCGGACAGAGGCTACGGAGGTGCCGTACAGATTGTCGTTGTATTGTCCCGCCTCGATGAACAAATGGTTCTGTATGTCGCGCTCCATTTGCTCGCGACTCGCCACGAAATGGTAGTCGCGACCGTCGACTTCGTAGTCGCGCCTCGCCCTCGTTGTGTCTGTGTTAATTTGTTGATTTCAATACACTAATGAAAATGATCGTAATAAAAAAGGAATAAAGGAATGCTGTAATAACGTATTAATTTAGTAATATGTTTTACATGTATAATAATGATTTTGGTATCTATTCAAAAACATTTGTGTGATTTTGCCATTCGCTATTATCCAAGCATGCCTGTTTCGCTTACACTACATACGTTATTCGCTGTTACAAGCCGCTTGGATTTTTGAAATTCTTCACACATCTATTCAACTTGTTTATAAAAAAAAACACATTAATCAGAAAATTTCACAAGGGCAAGAACTGAATTTCTTCCAACTAGGCTGCAGCAGGAAATAATAGAATTAAAGTAATCAGTCATAATATGGATTCTCGACAGACAGGCATCTGTGGAACTGTACAGTTCAGATTAGTGCAAACTACTGATCAGTCAGACCGGACTTGTAGTTATTGTGATCTTAGCCAAGTATTTTGCTTCTTGTTCGTTTTTAGGACCATTAACACAGTCAGCAGATAATGTGTGTAGGCGTAGTGATAAATTAAGCAATTATATGCATAGCGTCGCTCGATCGTTATAATTCACAAGATCACGCAACACGCAAGTATCATAGAAAGCCGCTATTTTCATGATTCGCCTGCTGCTGATTACAAACCATACCATTGTTAACTTTGTAATAATAATTCGTCAATTAAAAGTTCATAGTAGCACTTAAAACATTTATTCAAAATACTCGTCTATTTAGAAATGGGTGGAAGTACAGCTAAGAACTAAAAATGTTCACTTACGAGGTACGCAACTTCCGAATTTGTCAGGGAACTCCGATATTAGATCATCGTTTATTCTGTCCTTGAGCGGGCCCAGGATTATGACGGGTCTCGTGTAACTGATCGTCAACTGTTGCACTGTCTCATACGACAACACTGTCTCATCTTGACCTGTACAATGCAAAGGAGGTAATCAATGTCTTTTTTACTCTAGACGGTACAACCTAACCGTGATTCTAACGCAGTGAGGCTAATATTAATAATCGATTTCATTTCCTTCAATAATGGTTTCTAGAGAAATATTCACAATGGACTTTTTTAATGAATGTATTTATTAATCAATGTTCAGAGGTTTATAGTTGAGTAATAGGTAAACTGTTTCACTACGCACTATCGTGTGGATATAGTGAAATTATAATGGTGCAATTAGTGTCGACAGTTCTAACGGCGTGCATAATACATAGTGCTACCATCTAAAACCTGTTTGATATACCAAAACAACAACTAAACCTATAAACATATACAGATGTACCCATTACAATACTGGAAATTAAAACTGCAAGATCTACAAAATAATATCTTATCTGTTTAATATTAAGAACTATATTACAACATTGCCTAAGTACTTTCTAATTTTATACTTATAATTAATATTATATGCCTGATAATATACAAAAGCGTTTTTTTTTTCACACCACCACTATGTTATTAATCGCCTCCGTTTTGTATAATGGCGAAACATTTTTTTATATGGGCACTTTAGAAGTATCATTGTATCTGAACATCACCATGCTTTACAGAAACTATTTGCTATTAATATGGACAAAGTTCATTTAATGCCAGATTTAACATTTTCAAGCTATTTTGTATTTTATTTAACTGTAGGTTCAGTTCTGGCAAATGCACTGTGCCATATTATTATAATAACAGAATGTTTAAGCGAATTGCTAATGACATATATTCTAGGGCAGTAAAATAATAACAACTCTTAATTATCACCATAAGCGACAAAAACTAAATCTAAAAGTGAACCCAGCACAGCTTAATTTTAAATAAAAACAAGCTCGAATGAAGTATGTCATGATCGTACTATCGTATATGTATCGAACATAGACTTTATCACTAACGTAGATAGACGAATATAGCATATTTGTCACTCATCCAAATATTTAAGGACTTACATATTTTCTCGGGAGTAATTACGTTTTGGCGTGTTATTTGGTTTTTTTCGTAGCTCTGTGTTGCACAAAAGTTTTGTTTTCTAAAACTAATTGGACTACTAGAATATGCGGAATCCGCGAATCGGTTAGCTGTCACCAACTCTCCCTCTCTTCTACCACTATAAAAAGGAAAAACTACCGAAAAGATTATGAAAAAGTTCGCGTTTCGTTCTCCTATCCATCATAATCGATTCAATTCTCTAAAATATTATGTTAAGTCACAAGATTTCGTAAAGTAAAAAAAATGTTCACGTGTTTTGTAATAAATCAGTTGATACCAATTACGACAGTCAGGAGATAAATCTTACCATACATACTGTAATATTCAATAATAGATTCGGTTATTATAAAATTTAAAATAATAGATTTGCTTAAATCAATATTGTCTTTATTGCCAATCAAGCGATTTGTATAGTAAGGTGACTATGTTCATCCATCTATGTGCGTGTTATCGAGCATGCCAGTGTCGGTGTAACTAGCGGCAAAGCGCGTATACGGCGTGTGCGTACATGCGCGCGAAGCGTCAGCTCGAGTGACAGTAGGCTCTGGTGTCCTCTTGTGCTTCCAGTGGCCCCACACTCCCACTAACGCGCCTGACGGCTCAAATTGCGACGCTAACGTCGTGACGGGTGATAATCACAATTTTGAAACATGATCCAAACTTTCGTGAGCGCGATGAACTTTCGAGTGCGAAGAGGCTATTAGAATCGTATCGCGTTGTATGATAAAAAAAACTGAACGTAAAGAAAGAATGACAAATAATAAACAACAAAAAGAAAACTGGAGTGTTATTGAAATGAAAACTACGTTTCTAATTGATGATCATAACCAGAATGCGGGAGGTAAGGTATCGGCTACGGCACTCGCAAGCTACGCCTCACTCCCAAAACTTACTCTCGTCCTCGAGATAAATGAGCGTTATCTCCTCCATCATGGGAAGTTCCACTCGGTACAAGATTTCCCCTACACGTAGAAAAATTAACGTTACACATATTTATAACAAACTCTGCAATGCGGACAAGTCCGTAACTGGACACGCAACTCGTGCGGGTGACAAGTTTCGATGGCGAGAATCGTAAGTATGACATGGCGTAGTCGAATAACCATTAGAATTTTCATTATCACTTTTGCATAACGCTTCGTTAGCAGCTCGCTACAGTCATGAATAGCGTTTGAGAACATAAATAGCAAATAAAAATACATTATAGTCGAAATCTGATGGATGTTAACACTTTGCTAGGCACCGGTTAGGCAACTAGAAGCACGGGACGGCGGCCGAATGTGTCTGATACCAATCCGTGTGCTCGCTGCGACCCATTCTTAGTTTAACATTTAAACTACATGTGTAAACACCAAATCGTACCGCTGAGCTCTCGTCGCACAACCATGTTTTATTCACATTGAAATAATAACTAGAAAAATAATAAAGGAAGCTTTCAAACGCGTCAAAAAATAATTTAAAACAGATATCAAACTAAACTTTTGATATTTGAGAGATTTTTTTAAAAAGCAATAAACTGAACTAAGATTTTATAACAGGAAGTAGGTAAACAATGTTGTGAGGCATGAGCTGTTGACAAAAAAATTAGAACTATCTAATACACAAAGGTAGGTTTACGAATTACATAGCCTGTCTTAGGGTCGCCCACATAGTAACATCTGACAAGCGATAATATTTATGCTGATACTGGATAATACTCTAAACCTATATATAAATTATAGGCATATCACCATGCTTATCCATATACACTACAAGCGATAATTTTTACTCACATAAATCCGATAAAATTTTGACAAAGAGTTAATGGGGAGACATCACAAATAACTAAGTCCAATTACATGTTCATTTTAACCAATCATCGCGTCGGAACTTTTACGTACATTTTTACTATATATTTAATACATGTTGTACATCCTATTAAACCGTTGTACAAATCATTAACACAGGTATCACTATGAATGTCCGAATAAAGCATGAATGATAGAAATCAATTCATTCAATTAATACAATATTTTAAAAATCACTCTTAGCATCTTTTTAGCACCTAGCGAACATACAAAACCTACGTGGTTAAAGCGCAATAAAATACCTGTTAAAACAACGAATTAAAAATAGCGCGTTTCACTTCCCATAATGTCCGTGAGGTATAAACTCTGTGGTTAGAATAAGCGAATGGCTCGGTAGTACAAAAACACCTAACTCAATACGTGGTTATTAGCAGCCGCATGAAATAAAACTGCGTAATGTAATGACCTAAGTACAGTAAACAGCAAAATAGCGAATGTAACAAGTATTTTAGTTGGTAGGGTGGTGTGCACTTACCATCCGCGTTCGCGTCCTCTTGCGTGTAACAAAGCATGAAAGCTGGAACAGAATCGTCGTATTATTAGAGTGCTCTCCAAAGCGTTTTATAGTAGCGTCGCATCGCTGTGAATATTGTTACCACGAACAGATGTGAAGTAATTATACCCAAATATATTTGGTTATGGATCATGATGTTGAAGAATAAGTTATGATAATTGTACACCTTGACACTAGAAAACATATGTAGAGTGAGAGAGATAAATACACATTGGTTAGTTTAGACAAAAATGATCACTCCCATAGTCATATCGGAAATATACCACATTTAATTTCCCTATATAAAAGTGATAGCTTGCCTTATTAAAGCCATGGTATTATTAATACTTACGATAATTTCTGAAATAAACCAATTGATTGACTTTTTACCAACTGCGCAAGATTTTTTTTGTTTTTTTAGTATAGTAACCCTTAAAATCATCTAAAATTGAACATATGTTAATTAACAAAAATCTCTGAATTTCATGGCTTAGCTGCTTTTGTCCAAACGCCTAGCCTGTATTTCTACCCTTTTATAATCTTAACAAAAATATTATTATGAAGTATAATAAAACTTAATCATATGGAATGCGGTTAGCCCAAAAGCACCTTTATAAACTTAACCTAAAGGTGAAAATTGGAATAAATATGCGATATTATGGTGTTTGGTCATGGAAGTATGGTAATTCGTAGATAAAATATTGTTTTGAGACTACGTTAAGACTTACGTTCTTGGTCTGAACCATCTTCGGATTTGCCGTCCTCTCGGCTCTTCATAAATGGGAACTTTCTGCTGAACGAAAGAGTCTTCTTTTTTCTCTCCAATGTGGACTGGCTCTGTGGAATATATTTTAATGTTAGGAATTTAGTTCCTTTTAAATCTTCATTTTGAATTTGACTGTATCGACTGTATCCGGTATCGAATATTGTAGATTTTACATCTACTTGCAGCAAGTAAATTATCTTGCATTCACAAGCTATAAAGTTTAAAATTGAGAATTCCTCTATAACATTTATTTATTACGTGCTTTTTTCTGACTTGAGTATAGAAGGCAGTTGTCTTAACACAGTTGAAATTTCAAAAGCGATGCCGTATGTGTATTTGCGTTAGAAATTACGAGAACGGATATGTTTTTGTTAGTAGGACCTCCCAATTTGTCTACTGTATTACTGATTGGACAGGTGTGCAGAGTGCATAGTTATTTAATTGGCGTACTTTATATACAACGTTCAGTAGATAACTACACCGCCCCTGATATTAAGTTAGATTCTAACTAGAATCGAAAATAGTAGATGCACAAGTGTGTGTGTGTAAATATCGTTTAAGTCTACCTTGCCAGCCTTAACACAAATCCGTACCCCTTGGGAGCCCTGGAATCCTCTGCTATTGTGGTATTCTTTAAGGTAGAGATTAATTCTTTAAAGCTTGCTATAATTCTCTCCATCTAATATATTTCAGGATTCGTATCTCTTGAGTGTGGCCTGAATAAGTGAGGTGATCAATAATTCATTATGTCGGGATCCTCCGTGCTTCGGAAGACACGTTAAGCAATTGATCCCGGCAACATTTGCAGTCTTTAGAACCCTTAAATCCGCATCGTAGTGGGTAATAGTACATTCTCCATATTCCATCTATAGGGAAGGCCGGTGTCCCAGCAGTAGGGACATTAATATGATAATGATGATTGTTTTTGTAAATATGACATTACTCACGATTGATTGGCGTCCCTTGGCCCTCGAACTTCACTTGTCTGTCGCGGGCTCGTTGCTTCCGTTCCCAGCGACGTTTCGACGGTATAATGCCTAATCTCCATATTCCATCTATAAGGAAGGCCTGCGTCCCAGCAGTAGGGGCATTAATATGCTAATAATGATTCCGTCTGTAAATATGACATTACTCACGGTGCTGATTGGCGTCCCTTGGCCCTGGAACTTCACTTGTCTGTCGCGGGCTCGTTGCTTCCGTTCCCAGCGACGTTTCGACGGTATGATGCCTATCGCGTCCGCGTCCGCCTTGTCTAACCGTCTGCCAAAGTTCAATTTAATTAGTAAAGAGAATAAAGTGAGCATCATTTACATGAAATTGACAACTCTCTCTCTTATCTCATCTCTATATAGTCAAGTTAATGCACGAAAAACAACAGCTTTCTGCCACGCAACACCAATTTGCACTAAAATTTGGATTACGGTTCTACATACCCTTTACTTCCAAGTTGTCAATGGTTACTAGTTCCCTGGGGGTAGATGCCACCCCTACTCGGTAATGTTGTTTTATTAAATATAAGTACGGGAATGTGTAGATCATCGCATTTGTAGTAACTAGGAACCTACAGCCAAATTTTAACGCTAATCGGTGCTATCTGGGAGAACGATTTTCACAGTAGCATATATTTTTCTCTTTTTTTGGTCTTTATGTAAAAATAAGATAACTGTTTGAATCGACTTTTTAAGTTGAATTTAAACTCTTTTTATGCTTCAGTTCTTGGGCTGTGGCTAGTCAATAAGGTAGTGTGGAGCTCGACGCGATTTTCTGTCACAAGTTCCTTCGTACTTTAAAAGGCACGTTAAATAAAACTTACCACCTATTGAAGTTTCTTCTAAGTTTTTCAATATCAAATTTTGTAAATTATAATAAAGAGTATAGCAGTTTTTCTTTTCATAACTTTGCTATATTGTAAATTAGCTTCAGCCCGCGACTTCGTCCGCGCTAAATTTAGTTTTTTGGGAATCGCACAGCAACGTACCTTTTTTACGAGATAAAAAGCATTATAGTACTTATATCTCAATCCAGGTCTTAAACTATGGTATTAAAGCAGACCCAGCGAACTTCGTACCGCCTTAAAAATAGGGGCAGGTGGTAGAAGAGAAAATTTAGGGTTGTATGTATTTTTTAATACCACATTATAAAAAAAAATATTGTCCAAAATAACATTCCTCCTAACCCATATGAGAACACTACGTTACAATACCCAATAGTTTGAATTTTGGCGCGAAGGCGCAAAAACAGGTTTCAGAACACTACGTTTCAGGTGGACAACCATTATCACTTAAAGATATGAAAAATAGATAGTAGCCGATTCTCAGACCCACGGAATATGCATATAAAATTTCATAAAAATCGGTCAGGCCGTTTCGGAGGAGAATGGTAACTAACATTGTCACCTTTATCAGTTATTAATAAAATTGTGAAAAAATAATTCATCATCATCATAATCAGCCTATTAATGTCTCCATTGCTGAAGCACAGGCCTTCCCTATGGATGGAATAGGGCGATTGGGCCATGACCACCACGCGGGCCCAGTGCGGATTGGTGGGTGCTAACGACTGCAGATGCAGCCGGGACCAACGGCTTAACGTGCCTTCCGAAGCACGGAGGAGCTCGAGATAGTAATTTGTGGTCACCCATCCAATGACCGACCACTGCGAAAGTTGCTTAAGTTCAACGATCGCAGCCGAACGCGCTAACCACTTGCGCCATCGAGCTCCTCAAATAATAATTATGAAAAAAAAAATATTGCACTGGAAATTAATAATAAATTCACGATGAGAGTAAAATTAACGTAATAGATGCACAGAAAAATTAAAATAATACGTATAAGTCACTGCTACGATCGATACACAAATAAAATAAAAAAAAAATGGCCGAAAACTGTATATTCAGGAAGACAGGAGACCGGCTTCCTTTTCATCCCTACTCCGTGATGTTTGCTGGATGAGAGGTGACCCAGGTAGACATCTAGCGGGGATAACTGATCGATTGATCGTTGATCGGTTATCGACCGGTGAAGGCCGAAGATCAAATTGAATTGAGAAAAAAAAAGAAATTATTAATAATAAAAATAGCGATGGTAAAATAGGGGTTTGAAAATTCAGGGTTATATGTATTTACTAATCCTGTATCATAAAAAAATAAAAAAAAAATATACCTAAAATTAAAAAAAAATTAGGGGTGGATTACTTAACATTTAGGGGGATGAAAAATAGATTACATTCGATTCTCAGACCTACTGAATATGCATATTAAATTTCACAAAAATCGGTCGAGTCGATTCGGAGGAGTTTAACCACAAACACCGCGACACGAGAATTTTATGTATTAGATGTACCGAATTTCGTCCAAATCCGTTTTTGCGTGATTGAATACCAAACATACAAAGATTCGCATTGGATAATAAAGACAAGTTTTATTCTAACCTGAGAAGCTCGACGGCACAAGTGGATAGCGCGTTCGGCCAGCGATCGTCAAAGTTAAGCAACTTTTGCAATAGTCGGTCATTGGATGGGTGACCAAAGCTTATTATTTCGAGCTTCTACTTGCATCGGAAGGCACGTTAAGTCGTTGGTCCCGACTGCATCTGCATTGGACCCACCAATCCGCATTGCGCCGCGTGGTGGGTCATGGCCCAATCTCCCTATTCCATACATAGGGTAGGCCTGTGCCCTAGCAGTGATGAATAAGGGGGGGGGGGGGGCAATCGCCTCACTGGTTTGCTATGGCTATCGCTATCGCTTATGATTTCATTTTGTTAATTCTGACTACCGAACGAAGAAAATGAGCGTGAGGTATTTGAAAACCTGCTGTCAGAAATAACAAAATGAAACGTATGTGATGGCGATAGCCATAGTATAGGCGATTGACCTCCTGGTGAAGATAATGATATTCTAACCTCGCTTGCCACCATTCGTCGTCGGATGCGTTGGTGACGTGTAAAATGTCACCGTAGCGGAACGGCAGTCCTCGGGAAGGTAATCCGTCGTCTCTCACCGGGTCGTAGTCGAATAGTGCTCTGGAATAAAAAAATAACCTAATTCATGTACCAATAATATACCTACAGTTGTGATTAATAAGTAAATTGTTGAACATAGTATAATTAATTTCAAAGTGTTGTCGTTACAATTGAGGAAAGAAACAAATAGCCACACCACAAGGATTTCCCGCTCTGATTGTAGTTGTAGTGCTTGTTTGGGAAGTACACTCATTAAACAAAATACTAATAGGTACTAAAAGTGAAATAACACTATGTTCTAGTAGTAAGCCATCTTAAATGGACTCCACTCACATTAATTTAGCTTGCTAGGTCTTGTATAAAAAAAAAACGAGTGTGCTTATTACCATATGACTGAACTGAAACTTCTTTGGCTCGGTTAATCTGTGTATATGTATATATAAACATATACATACATATACAGTGGTGGTCACATAATTAAAGACACCCCCTAATAATTATAATAATATCCTACGCTTGTGAATTATGACATAATAAAGGCAATGTTTATTTATTTTTTAGGTTATGAAACAAATTAAGGAGAGTAGGGCGACTACCCAAAAGAAATCCATGGACTATTACTGGCTGTCAAAATATGATATTTTGGAAACTGCGGATGAGATACGTGTGGATGAGAATCAATCCCGTACAAAGACATACGCCCAAGTAGTGATACTTGAATTTCTTTTGTAGAAAAGGTCTCTTTTGATAGGTTTTTTTCTGACGCTTCGCCGGCCGCTGCCGTAGCACCCTCGCTTTGCTCGCTCGGCTCGCGCGTTATGGTCACAACACTAACCTAACCTAGTGTGAAGTATTACCGCTTGGGCCCTGGAAGTACAGTTTAGCCTACTATTTGTAATATGTACCAAAGTACCTTGCTATTTCTAAATATTTGTTAGTTTTCTAAATATAAATGTGTAAACTCTTGACATGTTTGATGTTTAATTTAGAAAAACAAAATTAAGCTATTGTATAGCTTTTAACGCGGTTTTTGAGCGCGGGGACCGAATCAAAAAATTCTGTTACGAAAAAACCTTACGAGAGTACATATACCAATAGAACACAATTTTCGCCATTCTAATATCAATGTAAACGGCGCAGTGTGTTAAATTTTTGCCACAGGACTTCGACGCATCACCGCGGTCGTCGGTTCAAATCCCGCACCCGGATTTTTTTTTCTTTTTTTTATATATATGTTTTAGACCCCAGTACCTGTTCTTATTTTTATGTGTCTCCCTTTTATTTAGACTTTATAATTATAATTAAAAATTTTGGACTAAAGATGGTAAACTGTGGAGCTTGTGGAAGTTTTTTGGCGCCGGGCAATGCTGTTGTTTGCTGTGCTTGCCCAATAAAATATAATAAGGCCTGCCTCGCCATCCCGGAAAAGTCGAGTGTCAGCAAGGACTGGATATGCCCGAACTGCAAGAAGAGCACACGTAGGGGTGACAACACGTGTACGCCTGTAAATGGTATCAGCGAATCTTCCGAGCCCGAAAAACCGGTTGCTGTACGGGAACCTGTCGACCTGGCCAGTGGCTCTCCAAAGGAAGATGAGGTCCAGGGTAAGGTCAAGGAGAACGCCGCCAGAAATAATCACACCAGTGATACAAAAAATATGCTGGCCGACTGCATGAAGGAGACGAGGGAATTCCGCTCAGATATGGCGGCCTTCCGCAGTTCTTGTACCGCTCGACTTGACTCCTTCGAGTAGAAAGTTGCGGTGTTGCGGAGGGGGGAGGGGCGGCTGATGTGAGCCCAAGTGTACGTTGTTGGGCAATTCACGTCTACCGTCAAGTGTCACTCTTACGTCCACGTCGTTCACCCCGGTAATACTTGGATCTGCTAACAGGCAACGTACACTAACACCTACCCTGGGATCCTCGTAGCTGAATTTAGTGATGCTATCCCACTGATGCACTCCAACATCAAGGGAGACATTTCCCGCGACCCGCACTCCCTTCTCTCCAACTCCAATTAATCGTTAACCCCTCCCTCATCCTGAATCCTGTCACTCCTTAAGGCCGACCCTAACAAAGGCCTTCGGCTCTACCGGGAAAATGGGAGGCGGCCCGGTAGACTATTAGCCTCTCCTACGCTATGGCCTGCGCAGTTGAGCGCCGTAAGGGGGGATGGAGGAGTCCTGGAGGGTTGAGTGAAGCGAGGTCGGCGGTAGTACCTTCGCGACACAACACGCCCTCTTTGGTCCGGATTTCAACCGAAACGGTAGCCTCTTTGGGTAGCGCCAGAGGAAACGGTCACGCGTCCCGTCAGAGGGCCGCAGCGAGGAGTGGAGGGGTCCGGGGCGGCTTGCCGTTCTGGATGGTTAGGGTCATGCTGACGAGGCAAGGGTGTGTGGAACAACTGGGGTACTCTGAACCGGTAAACCAGCCACACATTTCGAGCTTCCGATGTCGCACCTGACACCAACTCTCTGCTCCTATATCCAGTCGGTAATCCTAGTGCACCACTATGGGCACTCCCAAATGTGCGGGCTCCAAGGAGGGTGGGAAGCTGACTGGATGAAGTTATAACACACGAACTATGGACACCAACAGGTTCAACGTTCCGCCAACACCCGATGGGAAACCAGAGGGCACTGCTACTCGCATGCAGACCGAGAAATCGGAATGCGTGCTTGAGAACAGCACCACCACACCTCAGATTGAGGACACCTTACATCTGCTAGAGCAGAACTGGACGGTCGTGACCAGGAAAGGAGCTAGGAAGGTAGAGGAAACTCAAACCCCTGCACCATCCGGTCAGACCTCTAGGCGTTTGGAGAAGCAGAGGGAGCGGACGCGAAGGAGACGGCAGCTCAAACGGGCCGCCCGTTTGACGGCCTCTGCTAGCGACCGTATTGCCCAGTCAGAAGACAAGGGCTCTGGAACTCCAGGGGGAGCGAAAGGCAGCCAGCTGCCCAAGCAACCCCAGGTGATGCCGGGCCCGAGTCGGAAGCTGGACCGCTCAAAGCAGAAGGGGAAAGGACCCGCGAAGACGAAGTCTGGGGCCAAGCGGGCTAGGCTCGATGCGATCCTGGCTAGGGGACGCCGACTCAGCTTTATGTTTGGGTCGGTGTACCTGAAGTTCAGGGACGCCAAGGGGAAGTACGTCGACACTCTGCCGACGTCCAACCCCTCAGCACCACTCGGGGCTCAAACCACGGCGAAACTTACACCAGCGCCCCCAACACCATCTACATCTAGCGCTGGCCCCACGGACACCGTCGTTCTACGTGCCTCGTCACCGGCTGTCGAAGTTCCGGGACCCTCGCAGGTGTCGTCTTCGCCGCTCTGTGAGGAGTGTCTCCTGGAACTCGACGGGCTGGGGCTTGAGGACGTCGACTGCCAGGACGATGGCGTCCCTCTGCAGTAGTGCAAACATACTGCAAATAAATCTCCACCACAGCGTAACCGCTACGGCTCAGCTTCGGCGGTGGTTGGAGACCAACAACACAGCAGTCGCACTAATCCAGGAGCCGTGGATTAGGAGTGGCACGGTGCGAGGACTCTCCAGCATAGGAGGTAAGCTCGTTCAAGCCACTACTAGCGACGTAAGGTCCTGCATATACATTTCCAAAAACATCAGAACACAGCCCTTAATGAATTTCTGTTCCAGAGATCTCTGCGCTGTAAAACTGACCCTAAACCAAGATAATAACAGTTGTGACGTGATCATAGCCTCTGCATATATGCCTGACAGCGAGCGGGCCCCACCAGAAAACGTTGCGTCTCTGGTCCGCTTCTGTGCTCGGGAAAACGTAGAACTGATCATCGCGACAGACTCCAATGCCCATCACCCTGTGTGGGGAATGGAACAAAGCAACAACAGAGGTAACCAATTATTTGAATTCCTTCTGACTACTAACCTAGAGTTAATCAACACAGGCAATGAACCTACCTTCGTAGGCAGACGGTGCAAGACCATCATAGACCTGACCCTCGCGACACCAAAAGCGGCAACAGCTATATCTGGCTGGCATGTCTCCAATGAGGCATCATGCTCAGATCACCGCTGGATCCGTTTTACACTACAGGTAGGAACTATATCTCCTACACCCCAAAGGTATCCTCGGAAAACCGATAAACACCGCTACGCACAACTACTGGCGGACCTTCTAAGAAACAACTCCGGTAAGGGCAGAATTGAAACCACGGAGCAGCTAGAACAACAGGTAAAACACTTGACAGACAGCATAACGCGTTGCTACGAAGAGGCCTGCCCCCTTAGACTCCCGAACTCGAGAGTACCCGGAAAACACCACTGGTGGGGGCCGGAGCTCGAGAGATTGAGAGGAAAGGTGAGGAAGTGCCTTAACAGAGCAATGAATACATGCAGCGACACAGACTGGGACAACTACAAAGCTACCAAAGCTAAGTACAAAAAACGTATCAGATACTGGAGAACAGCCTCCTGGAGGAACTTCACCGAGGAGATAAGCTCCACCAACCAGGCAAACCGGGTAAGGAAATTGCTGGCCAAGCAAGGCCCTGGCGTGCTGGGAAGCCTGCGTCGACCTGACGGCACATTGTCCCACAATCGTGCTGACTGCGACGCTATCCTCCTAGAAACCCACTTTCCGGACTGCCAGCTTACAGAGCAGGTGACTTGGCAAGATGAACCTCCAAGTACAACAGAAGGATGCTGGAGACTAGCAGAGACGGTAATTACGCCTGAGGGAGTAAAGTGGGCTATTAACTGCTTTGCGCCTTTCAAATCTGCTGGCTCTGACGGCATCTTTCCAGCACTACTACAATGGGGCGGACAGGACGTGGTCGATGCGGCTACTCGTATACTAAGATCATGTCTGGCTCATCGGTACACTCCACATCTGTGGAGGGAGGTCAAGGTAGTATTCATACCCAAACCGGGTAAAACCGACTATACTAACCCTAAATCCTTCAGGCCCATTAGCCTAACAACCTCTTACTTAAGACAATGGAAAGGCTATGTGACAGATACCTACGCAGTGGAGCATTAATCAATGCCCCACTACACAAACATCAACATGCCTACAGTTCAGGTAAATCTACTGAATCGGCTCTCCATCAGTTAGTCGGTAAGATAGAAGAAGCCCTTCAAAATAAACTTATCTGCCTCGGAACCTTCATCGATATAGAGGGTGCTTTCGATAAGACCAACTTCACCAGCATTGAGTCTGCTCTCAGGAGACACGGAGTAGAGCAACAAATCATTGACTGGACAGTTAACATGCTTCGCAATAGAATAGTTCGGGTAAAAGGTGAGGACAGCAGAGGAGCACTGATGGCACGAGGATGTCCGCAAGGAGGGGTCCTTTCGCCACTTCTGTGGAACCTCGTAGTTGACGACCTGCTGACCAAGCTAAACTCGAACCACTACTACACCATAGGGTATGCAGATGACATTACTATACTTACCCTAGGCACCCACGCCAGCATTACCTGTAACACCATGCAAGGTGCTTTGAAACTGATTGAATGCTGGTGCAGGAAATACGACCTCACAGTTAATCCAACAAAAACAGAACTGGTAATGTTTACAACCAAACGTGACGTAGGTGCTTTCAACTTGCCGAAGCTGTTTGGTATCACACTACAACTGTCGAAGGAGGTAAAGTATCTAGGCCTTATACTTGACAGTAAGCTAAACTGGAGTAACCATGTGGAACACAAAATCAAGACAGCCAGCGTAACACTTTGGCAATGTCGTCAAATGTTAGGGAAGTGCTGGGGTCTTGCACCAAAACTGTTCCTATGGTTATATTACACAGTCATACGACCAATGGTAAGTTATGGCGCCATCATATGGTGGCCGAGATCTATCCAGACTACTTGTGTCAATAAACTACAAAGCTTCCAGCGGCAGATATGCAGCGTGGTGACCGGGTGCATGAGTACAGCTCCAACCGCAGCACTGGAAGTTATTTTAAACATCACACCGCTCCATATCTACATAAGACAGGAAGCGGCTAAAACAGCGTTGAGACTACAAAAGTTTGGACTGGTAAGGTTCGAAAGAGCAAAGCATCTCAACGGTATACTGAAGGAATGGGTAAACACTCCGCTCATAGATGCTGCATGTGACAAAATAATACCCGCCTTCATATTTGACAAAAAGTACAGAATACATCTACTGGATGACAACGATCCAAAGGTAACACACAAGGCTCTCATGATCTACACCGACGGCTCTAAAACCTCATCGGGCACGGGCGCGGGTGTTTTCTCTGAGGACCTCAACATACACATCGCGTTCCCCTTAAGCCCATACAACACAGTGTTCCAAGCTGAATGTATGGGCATCACACTGGCGGCAACAGCGATCCTTTCAAGAAAGGTAACAGGTCAGGAAATACGAATACTGTCCGACAGCAAATCAGTCCTACAAGCTCTAGATGCCTGTTTAGTCAGATCGAGCCTCCTACAAGAATGCCACCAAACCTTAAACAAGGTAGGGTCAAGCAATTCCATTACCATCCAATGGATCAAGGGACACAGTGGATCACGCGGAAACGACGCTGCGGATGAGCTGGCCCGGAAGGGATCTGATACGACCCCAACAGGTCCTGAACCAATAGTCCCAATACCGGTAAGCTGTCTCGTCAATAAAATCCGCGAGCACACTGCCGAACTACACCAGCAATACTGGCTCGACCTGGAGACGTCCAGGCAGACCAAGCTCGCTTTGCCATGGGTGAACGCTGCCTTCTCCAAAACTCTCCTACAGCTAAGCAAACCTACATTGCGCATGGTAACGGGTGCTATCACTGGACATGCACATTTTAACAGACATCTTTTCAACTTAGGTGTCACGGACAGCCCCCTATGCAGAGGATGCATGGAGGCAGAAGAAACAGCTACTCACGTTCTGCTGGAATGCAACGGAGTGGCCGAATACCGGGCGAAATACCTCGGCTCACCGGGAAACCTTCAAGAGGCAGTCACCAATGTGAAGGCCCTGGGGGCGTTCCTGGGGGAGCTGGGCTGGCTGGAGTGATTCCGGCCATACACCCTCCTCACGTAAAACAGGCGCCATAAGGACGTCGAGTTGCGGAAACGCCCGTAGCAAGAAGAAGAAGAAGAAGTTGCGGTGTTGGAGCAACGTCAAGTGGATCCTGATGCAACTGGTAGGATGGACTTGGAGTGCACCATATCCGAGCTGCGCGCCGAGGTTAACGACCGCGATCAGGAGGCGTTGATGTCCGACCTGGAGATCGGCGGCTTGCCCGAAGAGAGGGGCTTCAGCGTGGAGCAGAGCGTCACCATGCTGGCCGTGCGGCTGGGAGTGACTCTCGACAGGCGGGACTTGGTGTTCGCGGAGCGTGTGTGCGCGCCACCCGCCGAGGCGCAGGGACGGCCGCGCCGTGTGGTGCCGCCAGCTTATATAACTTCAAGCAGGCCCTGCCAGAATATCAGCGCTGGCGCGACACAATGTCGTATCATCTAACGCTGAGGCAGGGTTCTGGTTAGCCCTTACTGTATGAGTTCCTTTTAACATGTTGTACTTTTTAAGGGTTCATAAAAAATATTTTCTTTCTTTCTTTTAACACCCCCACCCCGACCGGCACAGCGGTGCGGCGTTGAAAGCCGTGCATCGTCTAACGTCGTCGTCATCGTTTCATTTCGGCAGACTTCGGCACGGTGTTTGTGTGTGTGCGACTAGACGTATGCGTGTAGACTAGTTGCTAACTGCTCATAACTGATTCTATCTCTTTTAGACATAATGCTAGGTGAGACAGCGTGCTTTTTGGCCGCATTGACGAGTAAGTTCGAGCCCGCGACTAGTTGAACGTTAACGTGCATGTATATGGTACCTACGACTGTACGAAGCTCGCATGTAAGATTATAAAAATATTTTAAACAATATTAACTTTTCATGAATTCAATAAAATAAAATAAAAATGAATTTTGGCGGTCACCACGCTCAAAAAGTGTAACATGAATTAATATCAAAGAAAAAAAAAACTGCATAAATAAATAATTATAATTGCATAAGTTGATAAAAAATGCTATGTAATAGCTTTACCGCGGCAGTCCCCGAGTGCCACACGTATTTTTTTTTATATTGTTATAAAAACTTCATTACTTAAATGACAATAAACAAGTTTTTAACATATTCTGGATTTTTATTAAATATTTTATGGTTAACCCTAATTATACGATCCGGCCAAATGTGGATGACAAAATCGTAAAATGTTGACGATTTAATGATCTGGTCAAATTAAGTTGCCCACATCATGAAATGCGACCATTTCATGAAATTCTCGAGTATTTCATGAAGTGAGCAAATCTACGATATGGCCACGACATATACATAAACATATTTCATTTACTAGCTATAAGAGAAAGAGAGAAAGAAAATGTGCGCGCGCACTGCTTTCTCTTGCTTATATCCCTCACTCAGCTCCCGTTCGCCTCGCCTGAACATACTTTTCGTAACGCGTAACGCATTCGCCAGCGTACCCCCCAAGTGAAGCGTGCATAAAGAATTTTCACTTAAAAAATAAGTGAAAATAAATCATTTGCCGGATCTTGTAGAAAAAAGACATCATTTCACTCACCTTACATACAAAGATCGCTTCTGAGATGTTCGAAGTAACGTATGGTGTTGTTTCAGTTCGTTGATGCGAGCTTCAAATTTGTTGTACTCCGTCGGCCTATATACAACTGTCAGCTTCACGTTTTGGCCCGTACTCTGCAGAGAGAAGGTAAACGATGAAATTTTCAAATAATTTTATGGTACAGTTCAAATACGGGGTGACTTGTGTTTATTCTTTTCAGACTGCTGCGCAGGACACTCAGTTTCGGATTTTCATTTTTAGTTTTGTAACCGTATTTGTCTGAAGTCACATGTCACACAAAAATCAAGAAACTTACAAAACAATTTGTTTTGTAAATTTCGATATTTTTAAGTGTTGTAGTGGTTCTTAAATAAAAGGTTAATAACCAGTCTTCGATGCCTATGCTTTAGTTATTGCATTGCGTCGTAGTGTTTTCTTATTCGAGTAATGATAAGTGAGACGAAAAGTGGTGAGAATGAGTGAGCGGGACAACAACAGTTGCGGCCGCACATGTCTCCAAATTGTGGTTCCATTTGAAGAATCAAATTTTAATTATAATTATAATATAATTTTCAATTCAACCAATTTTTAATAATTGATATTTATTTACCTTGAGCGCTTTGGCGGCCTGCTCGTGAGTAGCGTGAGTGATGTCCACATCGTTGACGGCCAATAATCGATCGCCGCGTCTCAATAGCCCCGATCGTTCAGCGGGCCCGCCAGCCAGAAGGAAAGACACGTAGATTCCGTGGCCGTCTTCGCCGCCAACGATATTGAAGCCGAGTCCTTGTGACCCTTTCTCTATTTCCACTACGCGCGGCTCCTCTGTACTGGCGACGACGCTGCGATCGCCGTCCGTCATGTCCTCGCGCCGCAGCGAATTCGCCGTGCTTGAGGCTGCGGTGAAAACAGATATTCCATTTAGATATTATACAGATAGAACCTATGAGTATTACTTATTTACAAATCACTTTGATTAAAAAGTGACAAGACAGTAATAGAAGACAGTGACAAAACAGTAAAAGAGGTAGTGCATAGTGGATTTTCGCGGCTAGTGTCCAGCCTCAGTGCGTACAGCGCGGGTATATACTGACGGGTATTGGCGCGGGAGACGCGCGGCAAGGGCTGCGCGTGCCGCGGGCCGGGCACCAGCACGAGCTGCACGCGCTCGCCGGATGCCTTCAGCGCGGCCACGCTCCTCGTGCGGTCAACTATAATGCGCGCGGCTAGTGTCCAGTCTCAGTGCGTACAGCGCGGGTATATACTGACGGGTATTGGCGCGGGAGACGCGCGGCAAGGGCTGCGCGTGCCGCGGGCCGGGCACCAGCACGAGCTGCACGCGCTCGCCGGACGCCTTCAGCGCGGCCACACTCCTCGTGCGGTCAACTATAATGCGCGCGGCTAGTGTCCAGTCTCAGTGCGTACAGCGCGGGTATATACTGACGGGTATTGGCGCGGGAGACGCGCGGCGAAGGCTGCGCGTGCCGCGGGCCGGGCACCAGCACGAGCTGCACGCGCTCGCCGGACGCCTTCAGCGCGGCCACGCTCCTCGTGCGGTCAACTATAATGCGCGCTGCTAGTGTCCAGCCTCAGTGCGTACAGCGCGGGTATATACTGACGGGTATTGGCGCGGGAGACACGCGGCGAAGGCTGCGCGTGCCGCGGGCCGGGCACCAGCACGAGCTGCACGCGCTCGCCGGACGCCTTCAGCGCGGTCACGCTCCTCGTGCGGTGAACTATAATGCGCGCTGCTAGTGTCCAGCCTCAGTGCGTACAGCGCAGGTATATACTGACGGGTATTGGCGCGGGAGACGCGCGGCGAGGGCTGCGCGTGCCGCGGGCCGGGCACCAGCACGAGCTGCACGCGCTCGCCGGACGCCTTCAGCGCGGCCACCGCCTCCTCGTGCGGTCAACTATAATGCGCGCTGCTAGTGTCCAGCCTCAGTGCGTACAGCGCGGGTATATACTGACGGGTATTGGCGCGGGAGACGTGCGGCGAGGGCTGCGCGTGCCGCGGGCCGGGCACCAGCACGAGCTGCACGCGCTCGCCGGACGCCTTCAGCGCGGCCACCGCCTCCTCGTGCGTCACGTTGTCCAGGCACACGTCGCCGCGCTGCAAAAATATAATCCAACTAATTATAAATGTGAAAGTTCGTATGTTTGTTACTCAGTCACGCCAAATCGGTTGAACTGATTTTGGAAAAATTTAGCACACACGACGTTTTATTAGCTGGATTGAGACATAGGATAGTTTTTAACAAGTTACAAAAGGTTCGTTGGTTGGCAAAAAACTAAAGTTCGGTGGCCGCTAGTAACATATAAATACTAGCTAACCCAGCGAACTTCGTATCGCCATCAAAATAGGGGTTGATGGTAGAAGGGTGAAAAGTTATAGTGGCATATTTTTAATACCGAATCATAAAAAGCTCAAACAAAAATTTTGGCCAAAAATAAAAAAAAGGGGTGGACCACCCTTATCCTTTAGGGGTATAAAATATTGTTTTAGAAAACACTGTAGTGGATCATGATTACACCCTAATAGAGCCATATGTTGATCATTAATCATATTTAAGCATAATGGTAAGTTTTAAATATATATTTTTTAAATAAATAAATAAAAAGCCTTTATTAACGTTTCGAGTTTTTTGCTAAAATTAAAAATGAAAAAAAATAATGATTATTATTTTGAAAATGTTGAAACTGACATGCTGCATACATTAATAAATTTAAAAATATTGAATCATTGAAAAATAAAACTATGTAGTTTTAAGGTTAATAATTTTGAGAGATGGGTATTTTAATATAAGAGCTATTGCTGCTATGATCCCCCTAATAATTTGACTGTGCTGACTTATTGGAAAAAGCATTTAAATTGCGCAAATACACATACAGTAATAAAGTCCTGAGATTAACACTGACTATTTAATTTAGTAGCACTCACTTGGACAGCATTTGAAATTAAATTTCATCGATAATGAATGGATTTACTAATAACAATAATCAATTAATATTGTATTTGCATCAAACCTACTTTGAACATTGGAATTATGAATTTGAATAAATAGAAACTTACTATCACCACCATTGTCAAAATTGAAATGCTCATGAGTCACTAAATATTCTTAAGAATTTTATGTGCCATTGTTGTACTAGGTATGCTGCGTGGATATAAAATAGTTAACTACATGTTCTGTTATGCTCTTTGAAAATGTTTATGATATGCAAGTAAAATTTATGTTGAAAGAGTTCCTTTAATCAAAAAAATAATTTTCTTCAAAGTTTCCAGTTGAATATATTTCATCATATACTTTTCTTAGAAATGTTTTGAAAAGGAACCCTTTTAATAGGGAACGAGACAATGTACACGTGAATAAAGAAACGGCGGTGAAATTCTATAAATAAACATTGCAAGATCAACCTCGACTTGTTTTTATTGTAAGAGAACTTTTCTGTCGCCATCGGTGTGGCGTAATGGGTCAAAGTAAGGTTTTTGTAATGCTTCATATAATTAAACAATAGACTTTTTTTAGCTACAGTCACCTGGACATTGCTTGAGAAAGTATTTCAAATTTTATTTCATTATCTAACTGTGTGCAATCAAAAAATAATCACTTTTGCTGGTAGTCCAGGACTGTCACTGGCACTGCTAAGTCAGTGTAGTAAGTAGTTAAGACACAAAGTAACAGTATACCATTAAATACAAATAAAATTAAATTAATTTTGTTTTATCTTTAACCACTACATATCGTTAAAGAAAGTTCTTGTCGCGTCTGTAGTTTTGCAATGAACTTAAAAAATACTGAACAGATTTTCATGTGATTTACACCATCGTTAAGAACAAGGTTTATCTGAAAAATACTAGGCAGAGAACTAAACTTAGTTACTACGGCATTCACTAATCTATACTAATATTATAAAGAGGAAAGATTTGTATATTTGTAACGAATTGGCTCAAAAAATACTGGACCGATTTTAAAAATTCTTTCATCATATGAATGGTACATTATCACTGATTAATATAGGGTATAGTGTATTTTCAAAAAGTTAGGGTTCCGTATGAAAACTTCGATAATGTAACCCAACGTGTGTAAAAAATACCAAAAAATAGCCGTATATCGCGTACGCTGCGGAAGTCATTGACAATAGAGCAAAGTGATGTACTAAAGTTTTATAGAGGACACCAATATCTACAAAAAAGTCCGCGATACCATATGTCTAACTGTTACAGTTATGTCACAACTAGAAGTCGTGCGGTTACACGCGCTTTAATTTGAAGAAAAACGTTTATAGTGAGTCAAACTTAAAATATAGACATAGGCTGTTGTAGTACATGATTTTTGTGTAACTAACCGATTGCCCAGCGCACGCAACGGAATCTCACAAATGGAATATTTTTAACCATTTTTGCAACATTTATTGATGCACCGCTACTACTGGTCGTAGCCTGGTAATACTATAGCCTTCCTCGATAAATGTACTGTCCAAATCGTAACAGCAGAGCTATGTTGCATTCGCTACAACGGGTCCTAAACTACGCAACGAATTTTTTACTTGGAATGGAAAGTTTATAATTATTATGGAGAATGTCATTGTGTATAATACAAGCCTTTGAATAAAACTACACTATACTATAGTCTACACTACAGCTCTACACCGAAGCAAAGCGAGGGCGGGCCACTAGTTTATACTAATAATACAAAGAGGAAAGATTTCTAAGTTTGTAATTAATCAACTCAAAAGCAACTGCACCCAACTGATTTCAAAAATTCTTTCACCATTAGAATGCTACACTATCTCTGACTAAAATAAAATGCACCCTTGCAAAACAGGCTCCAATCGCTAGTTATTTGTATCTTAAAAAATATACTCACAGAAGTGTTCTTGACCATAAGCAATTTGTCTCCGACTCGTAATCTGCCGTCTCTATGGGCAGCCCCGCCAGCCATAATCTTAGTGACGTAGATGCCATTGTCGCCGGGAATGTGTTGATTGCCGAGTCCGCCCGCTATACTGAAGCCTAGACCCGACCCTCCTTTTACTAATTCAATCTCTACGGCTTCTTCGTTACTCGAAGGCTGTGTCACGTTTAACGTATCGTCTGTACCGCGACGTTTTACTTTCTGTAAATGAATTGTTGGAAATATTAATATATACCTATCATCATCGACTCAGTAACAAGCAGGAAAGAAGCTTTAATAAGAGCATTTTCAATGATGGGATATTTCAGAAAAAAACCAAATGTGAGTTTCGTAGAACACTCGGTTGGAAAGAAGTTAAAATAAACATGAGTAAAAAGGGGGAAACAGACTTTTGAAACGCGACGAGACCAGACGCCACGCGACGCGTGTTGAGTAAATCAAATCTACTTTTTTCTATGTATTTTCATAGGAACATCCGACGCGACCGGATGCGCACACACTAATCATAGAAAATACCGCGTCGCGTGGCGTCGGGTCGCATCGCATTTCAAAAGTCTGTTGCTGTCTTAAACGTACACAACTAGACAAGATCATGGCTGGATTTTTCTGGTATCAATATTTACCAATACAATAAGAAAGACTACTCCTAGCTTTATAAAATTACATGACTTAAAATGCATAAAATTTTCCAAGTGCGCCTGTTTTGTAAGTCATTACAATATGAAATTTCAGTAAGAGTTGTACTTGAATTGTGGTCTCAATCAACTTTTTTAAACAATTTAGATCATAACATTGCCCTATTATGTAACTATATGGAGTCCTTCAGCATTCAACTCACCAGTCTAACGGTATTTCCTGCCTTTTTTAATGCATCCACCGCTTCTGCATGCGTGACGTTTTCTACTGTCGTGTCGTTAACCTGAAACAAAATTAAAAGTTTGATTAAATATTTACAGAGATAAAGATTCTAATTTTCATGCTGCAGAAGTGTATTTAGCTAAACCTCATCTTATATGGTTATTGTCTGAAGATAATAAAAATAAAAAATAAACATTTCTTGAAAAAAATTAACTAATGTATACTACTATTATAAATACGATAGTAACAACTGTCTGCTATGCCATCTTTCACATCTAAACCCCTGAGCCATTTTTGATTAATTTTAGGACGAAGATAAAGGGGCTTTTATGGAAAACTAATCATACATACATATCCAAACCTACAGACAGACCCTCTAGTAATGTCATAGATGTCAAACTCTTGTCTATCCATCAATTACGCATTCACACCTAAATAGCTGACCTGATTTTCATGAATTTTGGGTATGAATTGTGAAAATAATAAGTGTCGTTATCGCAAATGCCCACTATAGGTACTATATAAATATGTTCAAAGGTGGCTCAGGGGCTGAATCCTTAAAATTGATAAATAATAATCGATGCATCGCGATTTTATACAAGTAATACTCTGCAGCATTCAAAAGTATGTTAGTTAGAATAGGACGGACGAAAATGAAAATCACGATATATGGAAAGTTAATAAGATAACAGCTAACAAGTGTGAAAGTATAAAAGAAACAAATATTTTTGCATTATTGAATATTCAGTATTTACTGCAGTGTTACATTGCAGCATGGTTTACCTGTAATATGGCGTCATTAATTTGTAACTGGCTGGCGGCGGCCGCGCCCCCTGGTATCAGTTTGGTAACGTAGATATGTGGGTCGTCAGGAACATGCGGGTTATCCGAGCCCCCAGCAATGCTGAACCCCAGGCCGGCGCCCCCCGCGCGGGACAGCACTACTGTTAAGTATGTATAACCATCCTCTCCTTGTGTACGCTCAGTTCCTCCACCTTCTATTCCATTAACCTGCAACTTTAATACATAATAACTATGATTTGCATATTTTTTCATCTGTTTGATTGGATTCCAAATGATGGACACATTTGGAATCCAATGAAACAAAGAAAGGCACATTTGACGAGTTTGACGACCTCCGTGTCTGAGTGGTATATATATTTGTATATACTATAGAGGCATTTCAAGGTGTCGCCTGCTCCAGGGTTCCAGGTTCGAACCTGGTGGGGCAGATATTAGTATGATGAATACTAGCATTTGTACTTTAGTCATGATTGTTTAATATACTTATATATATATTCTAACTGTTAACCTAGTATCCCACAACACAAGCCCTAAAGTACTTACTTTGGGGCTAGGCTAATTGGTGTGGTTGTGGGAAAAATTATAATTTTACATTTAACCTTTGTCTCTTTATTTAAATATCTCATTAATAGATATTTTTCATGCGCTTAGATATGATATAATATGTTTGTTTATACCTTAAAGGCTTATTAAGGGTGTCTTGCTTGACAGATAAGGAGATAGTAAATAATTTTGGTGTTAGTGTAAGAAAGTAAAAAATATGTTTTTCATTATTATTTTGCAGAAACCAATGAGTGTATGTATCTAATCCAATGAAATCAATCCTAGAATTCATGAAATAAAAGTAGGACATTGTATTATTAACATTTGGGATTGCGTACAAAACACACACACTTTTTATTTTGTCTGGATGTTGAACTGTACTTATGTCAATAATTACAAAACACTGAAGCATAGAAGCCAGAATAAACTCTTTGACATTTTCCTTGTATAAATTTTACTGAAGAACAAAATATTTACCTGCTTCATTTCAGGAGAAGTGACGTGAGCCTGGAAGATAAAATAGCTTATTTTAATGAGTGCTCTGGCATTATCTTAATGATTTAAAATAGCTTAGACCATTAAATTTTGATAAGACTTAAGTTTCTCTGCATAAATAGTTATGCAATTGGAAATATTTAAATCTAGCATGCAATTAAATAATGATTCATGTGAATTGCTAACTGAATTAAAAGTATAAATTTTAGTAATACAAATTGATAATTATTTGAAATATGTCTGTCATGCTAATGGTTTAAATGGTTAGTTTAAATTTTAAAAAATACTTAAAATATACACCTAATTCAATACTAAGTTATTCAATAATTACTTAGTAAAATACATTTTTTATTTTATGCATACAGCTGATAGATTTATAAATGTAAAAAAAAAAGTTTGTAAGCCTGACACCAGGGTAGAGTGGAATTTTCTAGGTAATTTTTCTTTGGATTAATTAGAATGGAATAGTTCAATTGCACTACATATTCAATGGAATAACAAATTAAATAGGTACTGTGGTAGGTACTTTTGAAACATAAATGCAATTTTATAAGAATAAACAACAGTTAAAGACTACAAAATAATAAGAAATATGTGATTTATAAATATATTTATAAAAAATAATAAATCTTTGATGATATTTAAATGTATTTTAGCCAAAAAGGTAAGTGCATCTTATTTGGCATGTTATTGACTCATGGATCTAATAGTAATAGATAATCTTGATTATGACTTTGACAGAGGATGCCAATGAGATATTAATAAATCATAGATTACACAACAAAATCTATAATTAAAAATATGTAACGAACAAATATATATTTATCAACTTTTAAAACACAAATGCAATCAAGCAAAACAATAGAAAATATTAACACTAATCAACTTCAATAAATAATGGTAAAAGTTTATAATAATTACTTTATTTGGAAATTCCTGAAGATAGAGCAACTTGTAATCAACTTACCGTATCAATATTAAACAAGGAGGACACTTTTCGTAGGAATCCATTATGTGTTTTTTTCTTCCGTCTTTCTGTCATTTTTAGGGTTTAGCTATCATAGCCTTCAAGTACTTATAGTGACGTCCGTTTTATACTATGTACACTGCATGCATGTTAGTTACACACTTGTATTCGTTGTCAGCACCTTACTTGTTGTTGTTCTGCATGCACCATTCTCTACCTAGAACCCATATCTAACTTGCACCAACAAATTTCAGGTGTATGTGACCTCTTTTTTAAAGAATGCGACCTCTTTTAATGTTTGGTAGTTAATCATGTTAGAATTAAAGTTGCAGCAGCCCTTATCTGTTATATGTAAGAAATCGAGCCGAGCCCTTGTCTGATAGCGGTTTTTAGTAAATACATGTTTTACTAGATAATTCAAAAGGCGTGTTACCAATTTGTGTACGATGATAAGATGGTATGAATGTCAAAGCGATGAACTTTAATTAGAATGTCCGTGTTACGTTATTAGTGTGCAATTTATGACGACTCGATAATATTATACGTTTATGGTACTATCAGCTAGTAACATAGCAGATTGTTACAAGCAAAACTAACTCAGAAGTCGCATTAGTCTCACCAAAAAACGAAAACGTACCCAGAGTATAATGAAATTACTAAATGTTTAAAAATAGATTAGTGTTTATTAAATGGCCTTACTTGCGACGAATACGAAATATCAGCAGTGTGAATGTCAAAATTTTGTGTGCAATATCATTTCACTGATTATCATCTAAGGGGAGTATTTCTCAGCCGATGTAGCGTTCGTACGTCATTGGCACAGTTGTGAAATTTAACGGCACCAATCCACACAACCAAGAAACGTTAGCGTACATATCGCCGAAAACTTGTACTATATTTTAGGTTATAAATAGTACTACGAGACGCGAAACACCAACCATCCGCCATTACTGACCACTTGTTGGTTGTATAGCGTTCAGTTCGTTCAATCAGTCAGCTACGTTCACTGCCCTGCCGTCACGTCACCAATTCAAAAAACAAAACGCAGATCGACCGATAGATCCTGACAGATCAATATTGTAGAACTGTAGTCAAATGTCTCTCTGACAGATGGCGCTACGCAAATAAGAATAAATTATTTATTTTATCCACATTATTTAGATTTGTTTAATTTTTCTTTTATACAGGTTGCTCAATCTTTCGTTTAATTTTTTATTATTACCTACAATTATATACGACTGTAGGCAGGTATCTACCTTTAATTTTCATACTTATAATAAACTTTTAACCATTATAAAGAAGTGACATTAGAATTAAATAATTTATAACCAAAAAAGAAGAATAAAATACCTACCCACTTTAGCTATCTACCTGGTAATAATGCCAAGAATTAAAATTCGCGATTTATTCACTTACAGCTTTTAGATAGCTAACATTTTGCTCTTGTTCAATTCAAAGAATGTTTATTCACCTACAGCTTTTAGATCTTCTACCCTTACTTAAAAATTTAATAAATATTTATCAAGTAAAGTAAGATTTAGTTAAAGCTCATGCACGTGCTTTGTTATTATCTTCTAACTTGCCTTCTTTTCTTCAGTATTTGCACTTTGCGCAGGAACGACAATGGGCACTGGAGCCACCTGATTAACATGAAAGACCTTTGAAATTTAGTCGTAAAAATATTATAAAATCCCCTTTGGATTTGAAAATATTTCATATTTAAGTACCGTAACTTTTCTATACTTACTTATGACCTAGGTAATTACCTAATTTCCTAAGGCCGCACTCAGTTACAGATTTTTTAAGTTTGATTATATCTGGTATCTAACTACCTAAATAAATGCTAGGTAACACTCTTTGCAACCTTTGGATAGGTAGGTATTTAATGTACTTAGTTCTTTTTCTTTTACCTTTGTAGAGTCGGGTGTTTCATTGCGCGATTCCGTTTTCTTGTTGTTGTCTTGGAGAAAAGCATTTGATAGTGCTCTAAAGTCTGTTTCCTCCGATGGTATCTGAAATTGAATATTGAATGAGAATCTTTTATTTAAAATATACTTAACTACATAAGCAGGCTGTACTTGGTTTTTGTCAAAATGTATATAAACCAAAATCAAGATCATTTAAATAGACCAAAGAAATCTTTGAAAAATATTAAGTAATAGTCATAACTATTTTTTTATTCAGTTTGTGTAATAAGTTTAAAGCCTTATGAATGAGAGAATAGCTACCTAAGTAGGTATATAAGTAATAACCATTTAAGAGTATTAAAAAAATCATAACATCCTCAATAATAACAAATCCCAAATGAATTAAAGTTATTGTCAAATGAATAAATCCCAAAAGAGTGAAATGTTCTTGTTTGCACTTGAATAACGTATATTTCTGCTCATACGCGAGCAGTCACACTCAATAGTTATTTATTATACAAGAGTGGAAAGTTCCTTTTTAACCGCGTGCTCGATTTGGATGACCGAGCAAGCGAAGGATTCTAAAGTTGAATCACGAGCGCAGCGAGTGATTCTAAATTAGAATCCTGAGCGTCAGCGAGGGAAACAAACGAGCACAAGGTGAAAAATCTTTCCACTCGAGTGCAATACGTAACTTTTCATCCCACCTCAGCGAGGAAATGACAAAATGAAAAAGAAAACAATTTATAATGACAAAATATTTTTATTTCAATTAAAACACATTAAGATAATCTATAAATTGAAGAAAATAATAAGAAGTAGAAAATAATTAAGAAATATTAAATGTAACGTTGCTACAGTTACTTATGTTAAGTTTAATATTTTTGTTAGGTAATGTTATGTTGGTGTTTGTGAATTGTGCGCTGTTTTGTGGTAAACTACTCGTATCAGTAATTTTAAATAGTTGTGCCGATTCATTGGATTCTATTGGCGTAAATGTTGGCGAGAGAGGGCTATTGTTTCCAATCTTATGGGGGCTCATTTTAGATGTAGAAGGGCGAGACCAAGAATCTGACAGAGGTTCTTTCAGCGTTATGGCCTCCACGATACTATTACAAATTTTTGATTTACTTTGGATTGAATCCTCTATGTATCCCTCTACAACCGAATTAGACTTCCAGCCTCCATGGCGCTTAAGCGATAGAAGATCAGCCCCTGATTCGGCCAAAAGTGTGGCTGAGGTTCTTCTAAAACAGTGACCGGTGTATAACGGGGGTTCTAAAAGTCCGAGAAAAGTTGCTATTTCTCGTGGAATACTGCCAATTTTATTCTGACCCATAGGTTGTCGGATACACTTTCCGTTGCGATATTGTAGAAAAAATCGTTCAATTGGGGTGTTAGAAGGACGTAAAGCTTGATATTTCTGAACAATGTTTACATATTCCTTGCGAATAACGAAGTTGCGGTCTTTTTTTGTCTTGGTATTTAGTACATTAATTAATAGCAATTCATCAGAATTATGAGAATATTTTGATACGTTATTGACATTAAGTAGTGTAAGTTCATTTGTTCGACATGCTCCGGTTATACCAATAATAAGAACAACCTGTAACAAAAGAAGTATTTATAATCGTAAATAAATTAATCAAATTAAAAATATTGTAAGTACTATGTACAATTTTATCAACAACAAAAAATTACACGTATTGACTTACTTTTGCCGCTAAATATACGGAATCAGGTGCTTCATTAATAAACTTTGCAATTTCAGATGCTGTGAAAACCTTCGATTTTTTTGGTTTATAACCAGATGAGGCTCTTTTTAAAAATGCCACTAATTTATGATAGGTGTCGATATGAACGTCTTTCTTCATCTTAATTGTTAATTTTAGCATTGAATACGTACTCCATAGCGTGCTTGCTTTCTTGGTCTCAGATAATTCTATAAAATATGCCAGCAAAACGTTTTCGGAGAAAGTTTTTGCTCCTTTAGCTAGTCGCCACATGTTAAATATATCGTACTGTTTCAAATACTTCTCTCGTGATTGCTGAGGGAGAAGGCTCATTTGCGCATTATTAACTGTTTCAGTTAACTCAGTTGGCGTTAGATAAACTTCATCGTCGCTAATGACACTCATTTTAGTTGATTTTTTTGTACAGTTTTTAGGTTATGTTAATTATATTAAGCAATAAAACGTGAAAAACTAGAATGGCGCGAAGCACGCAAATAAAACAAAGAAACCAAGAAGGTTCCAAATTTAAATTTTTTCACAATTTAAAAAGTTCTAATCATAAATTTGGCACCATAGAGGTTACATTAAATAGGTTTAATGACGTTTTGAATTTACAATTATATTGAGTACTCATTATATGTGATGTTCTAAATTCAAATCTACTTTGCCGCTCAAGCGAATAAAATAGAATTTTCCAGCCAGATTTCGAAGCGCAAAATTACACTTTCCGAGGTGGTGGGATGAAAATGCTGTTTATAATATAAGGTGACACGACGACGTGCCCTAAAACCGTTAACCTACAAACTTGCGATTTGAGCTTTCTGATCAACGATATTAAATTCAACATCACAAACAAAATCGTGGCCGAAAACTGTCCTAAAGGTACATATTGGATGATCGCGAATCCATCCTACAATCAAAAAGGCTAACTAGCCTTTCCATGTTCTTACTTTTATTGACAATTATATTTTAAAGTTTTTTATTGTATTGCATTATTTAAAATCGGAATGTATAATGCATCTTATATTTTTGCGTTGCTTAGTATCCATAGAAACTAACGTGGCAATACCAATACCTTCTAGCTCGGTGTTCGTGCTTGGGGGTGCCTAGTGCCTATGGAACTAGCTTGCTACTTAAATAGTGATCTGTGTATAGAACCCTACATTGCGCGTGAGCCGCGATACACGTACTAAGCGGTTTTTTTTATTCATAGCAGGTGTCACTTGAGATGATGTGACAACGTTATGCGTTGGTTGTGATCTATATCGAAGAGAAAATTAAATGATTATAAGGATTTTAATGATACCCTATTCAAGCAAATCCGTTTAGATGTTTACTTATAGTCTTAGAGCTACTCAACCATCTGACTAAGCAGTTTCCCACAAGTCTAGATTTTTTTAAATGATGTTTATTTATCTGTTTTTAAAGAAAGTACTGTACTGGCAGGAATCTAGCGGTGGTGTCATCGCCCCTTAAAATTTTGAACCTGATAAAAAAAATTAACCTGCCTACACAAGCTGCCACAAAGTCTACGTTCATTTTTTAACTCCTGTACACTGACGTATCTGTTCTTGTAAACTAAATCTTTTATATAATATTCATGATCTTCGTTTCACTTCAAATGCTATGTTATTTAGGAAAAAACATAATCCTTATAATTAACCTTTACGACGCTTAACATAAAATACATGTGATTTTTTTTAAATTCACGAGTTTGATTCCCTGTTGTGGCAGGCGATTTAAAAAAATCTGTGAAGCCAGTTCTACTTATTTTAAAGTAAAATGATGTCTCAGTAAAATATCCTACCTTCAATATTTAATATAATTCCCTCCATGTGGCATGACCGTGGGACGCCCTAAATACTATTCTGGTAGATGTTTATAACCACCAGAATGTTCTGGCCATTCACATATATTTTTTAAACAAGTAAAGGAATGTTCCCTAAAAATTTGAGTCTTGTGCGAGCAGGTTATGAATTACTATCCCGATGGCAACTTTGCTATCGTCTGGTACATTTCTATCTGCAACCCTCAGGTTATAGGTTGGCATTTTTGTTTTATCCTTAATCAAATGTAAATTACTACATCTTAAAATTGTAGCCATGTGGCAGCAGGTTAAAAAAAGTTTTTTTAGCATTTTCAAAAATTTAAGGGATGATGACGCAACCGCGAGGTGCCATCCAGAATCATGCTTTCTCTATGAACTGATAATAAAACACCATTTAAAAAATCGAGGTTTGTGGGTTGTTGGTTAGTCAGATTGTTCAGTAGCTCTTCTACTATTAGAAGTTATGGTGAATTAAAGAAATGTACATACAAACATTGAAGATACTTAAAGTCCTCCAGAGGCTTTTCAATTCCATCATCCTCGAAGGCAGAACGCCAAAAGCATGGGCCAGAAGTAGGGTTGTCCTG